AAAAAGTAGATGAGGGAGGGAGGGAGGGGTCACCAGAACCCTGAGGACTCCAGGTTTGGTAAAATAAATACTTCAATAGATGATGCCCTCTTTAAAATCAAACTTGAAAGAGGTGGGTGACCAGATAATCCCAAGACTATATTTTATCTGTCTTGTTACTTCATTCAATTTGTCATGTTCTGTAGGGATTGCTATACAAATTGGCCCCATTAACATCTGTTGTTCTTGTTGAACTGGAACAATAAACAAAGATACAGGAAGATACAGGGATTCGGTTCCTGAACTTTTCAACTCTGATGTGCAATGGGCCTGGGTTTGCAGTAGAAATTCTATGTAAAATATAACTAATGGGGTCTTCTTTGTGGTTAGTGTTATGGTCAGAATTAGAGTGTCCAGTTTCTGATATCAGGAAATTATCCCGTGGCGAGAGAATATTGGAGAGAAAGCCTGAATGATTGAGACTGAATTTTCAAAGTATGATTTTCAGGAAACCGAACTGATAGGCAAGTATGCAGTCCTTGAGTGATTTCACAGAATTGAACAAGGTTTCTGTCCATGGTTGGGGATTTGAGAAGTTGTCTAATGCAAAGTTAAAAATCAAATTGTATGCAGTTCTGGATTCAGGAAAAAATAACCCTACTTTGATCTGGGAGCAGTGCAAAAATTATACTTCTTTGGCCTTTGGGATGATCCTCATAGATATAAGAAACAGAGTCTTCCTGTTTCCTCTCATTTGTCTGTTTAGATTTACAAGTAGATATCCAGGATATCCTGGTCTGTTATCTACTGATCTGGGGTGTTATCTACTGATCTAGGGTTTGGTTTGGTAGAAATTTATTTCCCCAGAGGAAATTTTGTCCATTTAATGGTCATCTGCCTAGATATCAGATGGCATTTAATTCTTTAATTAAACATATAGTTTAATTAGTTTCAACATAAGGGTCTGTCACTGCAAAACTCTGAAATTGATCTTTGGAAATTTTCAGAGTATTGCCCAAATTCCTAAAACCAGAGATGTTCTTATCAAAGTAACAAGCATAATCACACCTAACTTTGCTACTGATAGCCTCAATTGTGAAAAAGTATTTGAAGATGACAGAAAATCACCCTCATGTACAGTGAAACCTGTATATCTGAACACCTCTCTAATCTGAACATCTCTAAATTTGAACACCTTTTCTCGGTCTCAAATTTGTAATCTCCCATGACTTACATATTAAGAAGACCTTGAAATGTGAACACCTGCTAAACTAAACACTTTTGGCCAGTCCCAGGGGTGTTCGGATTGGACAGGTTCTACTGTACATGTAGATTTGGCTGATGTTGTGTTCATGCATTTGTACTTTGTTATCCCATTCTGATGCATTCTGCGCGATCATTTGGTTTTTCAAACTAAACTTTACCAAGGGAGCTGTTCGTGGATCGGTAATTAGATGAGAAACATTTGAACAAGATACAATTAACCATTACTATCAATAAATAAAAAACATGAATTGAACCAGAATTGCTTTAATTAGGAATTACAGGGTTGAGTCACTGAGATTGTTCCTCGGGATTGGTATGGGAAATCTTCAATCCCATATTGTAGTAAACAAGAGATGATAGATGATCTGTGGAACTGAATGACATTTTCTTTGGTAACGTCATTGAGGAAATTGTCAATAGCCCTCACACAAGATTACATGAAGCAATCAGAGCCATTTGAAATATATTTATCTCCTAATTCTTGAGAAAAACGTGGTATTCAGTCCGAGTGGTTAATTTGCCGAATGGTGAAGTTTTATCATTTTTCTGATTTTAATTTTCCTCATGACAAGAAACTTCCCATTGGATAACATTATGAAGATAATATTTCCAACACTTAATTTTCTGAGCCTGGCAAAAATTAGGCAGTAGGCAAATTAAATGATTCAGCAAAATTACCACTTATACAGTATTCAACATGGTTTTTACAAATTAGTTCATATTCCTCAGTGCAGGACATTGTTTTGGTCATTTCCCCATGGTGTTTTGAAGAATCCTCTGTTTTCCCTTTCTTTTAAGATAGAGTCAGCCACTTTACAAATTAGAGATGGAATTAGTAGTTGACAATGTCTCATTCATTACAGAAGCAATCCCAAGCTTTGAGCATCTTCTGTAATATATCTCTTGCAATGAATCCAAGGAGGTGATGTCCCAGCTATCATGTTTCTGTCACATGACCAAGATTAACCAATCATATTTTTAGGATGTAGTGATAATCATGGAACCAATAATGAGGATTGTTTTTAATTTGTACTGTGTGTATATAGAGTTCTGGATGGTCATATATTTCTTGAATGTTGTTGTGGTCATATTAAGGTAGGACTAGATAGGAAGATATTAGGACCTGGTAATATGTGTCAGTATCCTTTCCAATAATTGAGGTGAAATCATCTCTATGATATTTCCTAACATTTTGAACTGTCATACCGTTTGATTTGGTCACAAATCATTGTTTGTCAGAAAAGCCACAGTTTTCCCAGAATCATAAATTACGATTGTACCAAGAACAAACCTCTGGTGCCTAAAAGTTAATAAAAATTTCTTTCCACTACATAAGACATAGCTACATATTCAGGTTATTCATTCTATTCTTCCTACCTTAAAATTGATGTGATAACGTTTAACTGAAAAATATTATTTTCACTGCTCATCGCTCATCTCTATAGCATGGGAAAGTAACTGAAACAAGACAATGGGGGAATAGGCCTTGGAATGGGGGAATAGGCCTTTGTATAGGGAAATAGGCCTTTGAACTGGTTCACCGATGCAAATATCATTCATGTTTTAAAGAAACACTTTTGAAATTGAAAAATAGTCTCTGTGGGATATAGAAGGTAAAAGGGGATGATGCTCCTTATAAATTTAACCAAGTATAATCTCCTACTTTGTTACTGGCTCATCTATCTATTGGAATCTTCAGGGAAACAACTGACCAACCCGGAAAAAAAATTACAGGAGTCACATTTTCCATTTTTGGATCTTGTGAAAACAGAGGACTAAAACAAGGAATTGAGCACATAAACGTGAAGTTGAAGCTTAATATTATGAAGAATATCATAGCTAGGCCTTGATTCAAATTTTAGAGTGATTGTGTTAAACCAATGTCTTTAATCTAAGGGAGATTGAAGTCAATATAAGATGGGTCAGTAAATGGCCACTAGGACAAAACTCTCATTAGAATTAATTATAAGAGTGTGCAAGAATCATTACCCTTTGGCCAAAAGGCTAATAGTAATAACTATCCTCTGATTAAAGCAAATTGATAAATGTTTTGATGCTTATATGATCTTAATGGCCTCAATGGCATCATGGTGAACCTTGAGGTCTAATTTCTCCTTACTAGAACAAAAAGATTTGATGAGTATCAGAATGCCTCTATAGTAGCTGTCTTATCTTTCATAGGGGGGGTGCAATCTATAAAAACAAAAGGGCTTGCATAACCATTAATACAGCTCAATAAAACCATGACAAGGCTCAATAAAACCATGACAAGGCTCAATATACCCAATAATAAAGCTCAATAAATCTGGTGTTATGAAGCTGAATTGCAACTAGGATTTGCGAATCTGTCTCTGAAGAAAGGAAAATATGATAATTAAATACGCATTATGTATGAATATTTGAGCAATATTCGTATAATTCAAAATATCATCTAAATTGCTTAGTACTTAGAAAAAGAGATAAGTTGACTTATAAAAAGTTCAACCATTAAATATGACTCATCATCGTTGGTGGTGTTCAATGATTTGAAATTAGCGTTAATTATAGCTTTAACTGACATGCAATTGGCGGGTTAATTGCACAAATATGTCATTAGGGCATAAAAAACATTTGGTTCAGTCGGTATGTCACATAACTCAAAAAATAGTTGACAGAGGTATATATGTAATGATACATAAAAAACTGGCAACATGTGTGGGTTAAAACATCAAACAAACTCACCCTTGTATAAATAGTTCAAGTTCGACCTGTTTTGAATTTTTATGTAAAATGGAGAGATTAGCATAGAGTAAGAGTACTGTCATGCAAATAGGAGGTTTAACAGAATGTTTTTATCTGAATGTATCTAAATTCATTAAAACAAGATGCGGTTGCCGATATGTTTTAGCTACAACTTGTGTGAAACCACTCTCATATATGCAGTAACATAAGCAAAACATCTCTCAAATCTGCACACCCCTCAATAGAACACTTTTTGGTCCCATTTTTAATGTGCTTCCATGTTAAAGAAACAATGTGAACACTTGCCAATCTGAACATTTTTGACCGATGGCATCTTTCTCTGTTGCATAGCAGATACCCATCCAGAAGGACAAAGATGAACATGGTGTTGGTGTGGCTTACCATGATATAATATATACCTAAGTTAGAAATTTTATATATAGCAGATCGAACCAACTCTTTGTACTCCAAGGCTGTATATGTTATTCTTTGAACATAAGTGACCTTAGTAAGAACAATGACATTTATTACATATGTTACCAAAATGAAAACATATTATACAACACAACCAATTTCATATCCTGTACTATACATGAACAATCATGCACATGTCTCATTTATATACATAACCTATATGATACAGCAAAACCTATAAAGTGAACATCTCTGTAATAAGAACACCTTCACAAATGGAACACTTTTCATGTTAACTATTAACTTCAAGTAAAATGAACCTCCAAGTATGAACACCTCCCAAGTTGAAAATATTTTGGTTTTTGAAGTACCAAAGGTATTCTTATTACAAATTGCATAAAATTATATAAAGACTATTGAGAAAATGTATATATAAAGCTATAAAGCTGACTTTCAGTTCTTTTAATAATCCAAAATAAATAAAATGCATATTCATCATATAGTTTACTGAATGAAATATGAAGAATGAAATGTGATATAATTGATATTTATGATTGCTTGTTTATTTGCCATATTTATATTTTTATTATTAATACATATGATTGTTTCTGTGTTTCCAGGAGCAACCAGAGAGATGGGCTCAGCTCTCACCAGACTCTGTATGAGGCACAGAAGTATAGAAAACAAACTCAAACAGTTCACAAGGTGGGTATATAGAAATTATCCTATATGAGGTCCAGGATATTGGAATTATCCTGAGGTATCTGTTAAATTGGCTTTTTAGATGGCTACAAGAATATGGATATATGAGCGACTGTGGATTTCCATATTGCCTCTAAAATGAATAAAGAAACATTTTTAACTGACCAAACAAAGTGTCTGCTTCGATCACAAATATACAAATAAATAGATATACATAATATGTATAAAATATCTCACAAATATATTTAAAAATAGATATGACAATATTAAACCTAAATGATTATAAAAATTGCTCACTTTAATCTGAATCTTTCTGTTTTCAGTTCACTTTTAGATTCACTTGTAATACCTCTCCAAGAACGGATGGAAGAATGGAAGAAAACTGTAGCTGTACTAGACAAAGAACATGCAAAGGGTGGGTAGAGGAGACTCATATTACAAAACATGCAAAAGGGTGGGTGTGTAGAGGAGGCTCATATTACAAAGAAGACTCATATAACCATTGAAATATTGTGCCATTAATAATTTTTTCATAATTATGTGACTCAGAGATTATTTCACACATTAGAGTAATAACAAGATCAAATGGTAATATTTGTAAATGCTATCATATCATCATTCAAGATGTAATCCCTCATGTAATGCAATGAATTACTCTTGGGTGTAAAGGATGAAATGCAAAAGTCAGTTAATTGGAATATAGGAAAATATGAATGAGTAGAGACTGCTATATCGAAATGAAGCTTTCCAAATTTATTAACGTACTCTTATTTTAATGCATAAATGATTTGAGAGTAGATTAGTTAGCAAGAAAAACTGTATGAAGGTGTGTACTGTATACTGTTTGAAAACTGTATGAAGACTCCAAACTGGAAAAATAAAGAATTGAAAATAAGACCATATTGTGTAGAAATACAGAATCAAAGGACTGTTGGGAATAACTGCTTAACACTTCAAAGAGAGATGAAAACAATCTAACATTAAGTCATGATTAAAGCCTGCTTCCTTATATGACTGTATCCACCCCCCCCCCCCCCCGTCACCTTCACTCTCTTTACCTGGCAATATACAGAGAGAGAGAAGGATAAAGGGGGGAATACAGGGTCTTTTAAGCAAGACTAAATACAGAATATAATCCAGTATATGTAAAACGTCTCCCAGCGATATATACCGTCGTTAGGTGACACCAGTCAATGAAATTAGAGCAGTTTTTCCACAGGCGTCCATTCCCTTTAATCACATGAAGTATTCTAATAATGTTTGCATGTCTGTGTTAAATGCTATTGTGTTTTACATACCCTCTAAGCAGTTTCATTTCGTAATACATTTTGTTCATGTTTTTGTTATGTCACCACAATGAAGTGGTGACAGATTGTTACAGCCACCATCTATTGTGACAAGATTTGGCATCAGTGTTTGCTGTGCATCAGCATTTGGTATCTGTAACGTATTGTTATACACTGGTGTAACACCCTTTTAAAAATATGAAAATGACACGCCACCATATTGTGGAAAATCTGTATGTACCCTGCCAAAAGGGTGACGTTTTGAGATATTTTAACAAAAGCTGTAAAATTGGGATTTACTATACAGTTGAGAAAAATCCTAGGGCAATCACTGATAAAAATCTTGACCCAAGTCTGGTCCTCTCCCAAGCTCTCTTTTTTCCAAATCATTGTAACACTACAAGTGATATCCTTGAGTTGATATACATTCACTATTTTGGTTGCAGATTATAAAAAAGCCCGGGCTGATATCAAAAAGGCTTCATCAGATACTGTTAGACTTCAGAAGAAAGCCAAAAAAGGTAAGTGCAAAATGATGTACACCATGTGCCAAATATGGTAGTATCTGTGATTTGTTTGCCAAATAAGGTGATACCTGTGAATTGTGTGTCAAATATCATAGCAATACAGAAAGCGCAAAAAATTCCATATAAGCGAGTTGTTATGGTATTTTTGACATGTTTTACTCTAAAAATTTGAAAGCATAAAATACGAGAATTTGTCACAAATAACAAAAATCCTAAAACTCTTAGCAATCTCAAGATGGTATAATTTGTCAAATGGCCGCAACCTGTAGAACCTGAGAATGGGCACACTCATCAAATACACATGGTTTTGAAAATTGGCAGAACATAGGTCCATAATCTATTAAAATGGTCTAGACTGTTTCGAGTATACGTAAGTACTAAATATGCCAATGCTAATACAGTCATTTAGGCTGTCAGAATGGGATGTTCAAAAAAGTCCCAGAAATTGGTTGAAACCGAGGCAATCATAAAGAATCTATTTACTCAAAGATTAGTTCCCAAATTATACTCTGGCTGAACATAAGTCTTTTGATTTTTTTACTTTAGGCAAAGGGGAACAACTCCAAATTCGCTTAGACAATGCAATGCACGATGTCAACGATAAATACCATCTACTGGAAGAAGCTGAAAAGCACTCAGTAAGGACAGCTCTGATTGAGGAAAGAAGTCGTTTCTGTACTTTCGTCAGCTTTGTTCGACCAATGGTGGTAAGTAAAGGCCAATTTGCTAGCCTGATTGTGGCAAAATATGTCATGTATTTAAAAATGCAAAGTGCACCCTAAAACACACCAATTTTGAAAGTGCCGATAGTTCATGTACGAATACCCTCAAAGTAGTTACCATTTTCACCACCAGGTGGCTCATTCGGGTCAGATAGCATTGCGGGTATAGTAAAAAGTTCCCCTTAATTAAAATATGTCCAGTAAAAGAAAATATTATCTGTCCAATACAAGAAAAGATATTTCACTTTTTGTGATTTTATAACATGGGGGCTATAGGGAATCTCCCCGAACTAGATGTCACAATTTCAAATAAAATTAAATTTTCAAAGCTTACAAACAATTTTTAAAAACATATTTCTAGATGTACTTTTGAATTTTGAACATTTAATAACGTAATTACTTACTCTACTTGCATCTAGTCTATTACAGACCAGTTGTCATGTGTTATTGTGCATATACTGTATTCGGGAGTCATTGCGTTTTCAATAAGTATCATTTTCACAAGCAAATTAACTTCCTGTGAATGACATCCTTTATTGTTTTAAGTCACGTTTTATCTAAACTTTGCTACTAGAGTGCTGACTTCATTGTTTCCTTGGCTCTAACAATTTCGTGACCTCATCATAATTTATGAGTATTTGGTAAAAGCTAGTTCATTCCTCATAGACAAATAAAACGAAAATCAGTAGTCTGTTCATTTTGCAGTATCTTTAAGGCGCTATGCTTAGTTTGAAAATATATTTTTATCATTCATTTACAATTTTTCATATGACTTTAAAATCATTTTAGAGATCTTTAAAAAATGTGGTTCAAACTTTATACGGGGCCTTTAAATGTATGTTGTATTACTGCATCACTGATAGGATATAGGTGTTGTGATGGGGCATCATTGTTTCTTTGATCATTGTAGAGTCCCACTTTTTGTCATTGCGATTTCAGAACTGCTTGTCATCATTGCTGATGTAGAATGTGAATTGCCTTGTACGATTGAAAAAGGTGAAATGTAAATTCAATTTGGAACTTTTCATTATCCATCTCAAGTGAATAATTTCTTCAAGTTTTGAAAAGAAATTTTGTTCCAAAGTGTGACGATGTTATAAGCTACAGATCATTGAAGAAAAACATTTTGCGATTATTTAGATTTGTATTTTGGTCACTGCCCTTTGAAATTATTTTCAGTATTTAGATGAAGTCATCGTAACTATTGGGTTAAGTTTTTTAAACATTGAAATATATCCATTGGTCTAAACATGTTCCCCAAAATAGTTCAGTATTCCCAGAGATTTCTGCTCTTAATCGTTTTGTGCCAAGAGCCAAGTTGAAGGTTTTCTATTATCAAGACTAAAATACTTATTTTGTGAGATTGTTTATACTTCGGAATAATTGCTTGCTTGTTTCAGTCCACTTAACTTAAAAAGTCAAACACTTTAAATCTTGGTGATGTTATGAATATTATATTCAGGTTTACTGCTTTTTAACTGTTTAAGATAACTTAAGGTGTTTCGTTTCTAAATAAGGAAATTATACTGAAAAACAAAGTCTTGATGTTATTTTAGTTCGAAGTAATTTTTCACTTGGTAACAGACTAAACAACCATTTAACAATGTTTTCATTGCTAAATATTTACCAGAGCGAAAGTTGTGGGATTTCTTCAAGAATGAGTGAACTGGATATCAAAGTGTTAGGAACGGAGAATGAGAAGCTTAGCAATATGACCAATTAATACTCAATTCCAAAACCTAAAAATGGCAACTTTTCAGTCCTTTGCGAATTGGCTATTTTTTCTCCTTCCTTATTTGAAAGTAATTCAGATGTATTAGTTATCTGTATTTGTTAATTTCGCCATTCTATAAATGTCACAACGCATGAGTTAAAAGATTTTTGAAGTTCTATTAGGAAGCTACCTTCATGTGCAAATAATGAATTTAGACAGTCTTTTGGGAGTTGAACTTCTCTTACAGTAAAATCTATCATTTGATAAGTTGTGACTCATCTTCAAAAATTTAGTTAGCATTGTTTTACATTGTTAATTCCAATATATGAGAATCTACACCCCTACAAAAGTTCAGCAACCAGTACTCCCCTTCAACGCCGCCTTGGTCACATTTGTTCCGGTATTCAGTACTGGCGTCCAAGCGATGAGTATTTTATTTACAGCAGTTCAGCAGTTATAAATTTCTGAGATAAGAATTGAAGAACAAAATTGGACTCGTGGTTTAAACTGTTATCTAGTGAATTACCAAATATATTCAGGGGGTTGTACTGCAAAGAGAATCAATTGTATTCATGACATATTCAACCTTTATTGCCCCCCCCCCCCTTTAGATACACGACTACATCTTGATAGTTTCTGTTCTTAAGACAGGCCACATAGACTAACATTAAGTTGAGTTGAAGTCACGTGCAAAAAAGGTCCCAAAAGTCATCCTTCTATGCCTACCTTAAATTGATATACAGGGTGGTCAAAAAAACTGGAAACCCTTACACCGTTTTCCTAATATCTTTGTCATTTTTTTAAGAAATAACTTCACACATTTGTACATCATTCAATTTCCTACTGGGCTACTATATTTCATGACCATCAGATTGATAGTCACAGTGTTACAGCACTTTAAAGAACATTCCCGGTGATCTGTTTGCGGTATAGAGAAACCTGCACATTCATCCAAAATGTCCCTACCTATGGGGATATGGCAGAGATAAAGTGTATTAATATGACCTCAGGACAATTGCAGACCTCAAAAGTGAGATCATCTGCATCATTCAGGCCATACCTGCTGAGGAATGCATTTGGGTCATTGACAACTGTGCAGGTTTGCCTACAGCGCGATGATGGCCAAACCTACAGCATGTTGTTCAAAGTGCTGTAAAATCGTGACTATCAGTCTGATGGTCATGAAATATGGTAGGGTAATAGGAAATTGAATGATTTACAAATGAGTGAAATATCAGGAAGTAATTTCTTAAAATGATAAAGATATGAGAAAAATGCAGGGTTTCCATTTTTTTTGACCACCCTGTACAAAGGCTTCATTTATTATTTACCAGATCTATTTTATTGCTTAAAAGTTGTTCCAGTCTCTCTGCCTTAAATTGAACTACATTCACAATTTCAGTTTCTGGGGCATTTAATTAATGAGATAACTGAGATTCCTAGACTTAACTTAATATTTGCCAGGTTCATTTTATTGCTTACAATTTTTCATTGTCAGATACCTGAAGCCTTCTCTATGTTAAGGTTGTTCTGCATGGTGAGAATTTCAATGTAATTTTTATGACTTCAATGACCAATGATAAATGAGATACTTTATATTCTTTCACATATTTTTGACATTTTTATTATGTGATATTTACACAGTATGGAAGAATACAATGTCCAAAATAAAATAATTTTGATTAATTTGAATTGAAGTGACATTTACTTACGAAAGTAGAAAACTACCTTAATGAACTTTCTTCAGAATCATTGATTAGTTCTAAAATTATACTTTCCAATAACACTTTTAGATATGCAATTATCAGAGATGAGATACAGTCTAGAGAGGCACTTGTGATGTGTTTGATATGTTTTACATAAATAAACCTAACATTGAATTAGGAAAGAAAGTAATACCTTTCTATTTTTCTATTTATATTCAATGGCTCTATGGGTTAGAATTGCAAAAATTTATATAAATCGCTAAATGGTCTTTGGCATTTGGACAAATATATATAAACTCCATAGTCTGCATCTTTATTAAACAGTGCTACACAGTGCTGTTTTAGCAACTTATGGGTTGAGCACAGCACTTCATAGCTGTTCTGACAGCACTGTACATCATTGTTTTGGAAACAGTTCTCAAATAGTACTGTGGAGTGCTGAGAAAATAGCACTGCAGGATTACTTGATGAAAAGTTTTCCAAATTGTTACAGTCTCAAACATTTTTTGTGGCTAGTGTTCAGTGGTTGGTGTTTGACATTTGGTGTATGTAACAAATGGTGTTTGGCATTTGGTGTATGTAACAAATGGTGTTCGCAGTCAGCTTTTATAACAAATGGCTTGTATTTTAAATTGGCAATGTCTGTGTCCTCTGTATTCATGGAGTTTTTATGAAATGCCTGCATCAAATGATTACACATACATTTCTATTGTACATGCACATTGTATATGTCTATTGTATATGTCTATTGTTTATTATAGGATGGGGAGATAGCGATGTTAACAGAGGTGACCCATCTTCAGGAGATAATCGAACATCTCTGTATGCAATCAAATGATCCGCACATATTGCCCACATCGAGTGAACAAGTCATAAGAGACATTAAGGGCACAGATTCTTCATCCTGGCACTTTCAGGTGGGTGGTTTTTAACATTTTTGCAATGAATGAATTTATTTTGTACGGGCAAAACTGTCATCAATGTATTTTTTATTTTTCTTGTTTTTGGCTCATTATAACATTTGTTAATTCTTAATAATTAAGCAATAGTAATATGTTTTATGTCTTATTTTATGCCCCTGCTGTTTGATCTAAGTTTTAGAAAACCATTATTTGATGGTTTTCCCATTTTCCACATTTTAGACACCTCCCAGCTCGCCAAGTTCGCTAGGGTCTCGCAAGTCGAGCATGTGTAGCATCAACAGTATAAACAGTTCATCAAGCGGCTCAATGAAGTCAAATTCCCCGAGCCACCATTTCAGATATAGGAACTCGGCTCAGGTAAACAAGGTAAATGTAGTCGCTTTGCTATTAACATTGATTTATTTGATGTATTGGCGATTTGAGGGATCATTTAGGATCTGCCCTATTGTTCTAGATTGACATCAGTTGTTCAGCTATTATTTGACAAAATCTTGTTTTGAAAGTCACAATTTTTCCAAAATTCACTGTACTACTGATTTTGAAAAAATCTGACTTATATGCATCCTTTGTTTTTTGGCTAAATGTCGAGTGTTAAAACTTGAATAAACCAAAAAATTAAATCGAAAAATCAAGTTTCAGAATTAAAATGTGTATAAATATAGTGGGTGACCCAAAGTAGGTTTACAGTATATAATCGGAGATTGTTGAATATCTGTAAACCTACAATTGGCGTGTCACCCAGTATTTTGAATCATCCTTAACCCCTCAGTATTGTCAATACAAATTCAGCAGCTGCTTTATATTATTTGCAATTCAATGCTTTCCACTGCAGTTTTGTAGACAAACATTACATAAGTGTATTCAGTTAGATTTTTAAGATAATTTGTGAATGCTTTAAGCCTTTCGTTTTTGTTTCTTTTTGCCTATTTCATTAGTCATAAAAGTGTGAACTTAATGCTTTTAATAACTGCATTACACAAAGTGACCACATTAAGATAATAATGTTTTGGTTTTGTATTGAAGTAATTTAAAGTGACTATTCTTCTAAATACTCCACAAAATTTAAATCAGACAACCCAGTAGTTGTGATATTGACAGACAATGAAAAAATTGCTTGAGAATTTTAAGCAACATAAAATTTTACAAAAGTAATGAGGTGTAAAAAACAAAATATAGGGGTTTTAGATGGGAAAAATTTCCCTTACAGTAGGTAAGCAGTTTTTTAAAGCTTTAATATTCATCAAAATGAAGGTTTGTATCAATACCTATTGATGTTATATGTTACAGACTGTTATGAAATATAATGAAAAAATTGAAATATCAGATTTAAAGGCAGTGCTCTAACAAAGGACTCAACCCTTTTACTTTCTTTGGGTGACCCATGTTAATAGCATGTGACTCATGTTAATAACATGTGACCCATGTTAATAGCATGTGAACTGTGTTAATAACATGTGAACATGTGGCCCATGTAAATAGCATGTGACCTATGTTGATAACATGTGACCCATGTCAATAGCATGTGACATGTGTTAATAGGATGTGCCCATGTTAATAGCGTGTGACCTGTGTTAATGGGATGTGGCCCATGTTAATAGCGTGTGACCCGTGTTAATAGCATGTGGCCCATATTAATAGGATGTGGCCCATGTTAATAGCATGTGACCCATGTTGATAACATGTGACCTATGTTAATAACATGTTACCCATGTTAATAGGATGTGGCCCATGTTAATAGCACGTGACCCATGTTGATAACATGTGACCTGTGTTAATAGCATGTGTCCTATGTTAATAGGATGTGGCCCATGTTAATAGGATGTGACCCATGTTGATGAAATATGTAATTCATGTTGATAAAAACATGTTAATTTCAATGCCTTATTGGGCTTTGTTCTAAATGAAAATATTGAGAAAATTATCGTCGCCCGGCCCTTCATAATTGGCTAAAAATGGGTCACTTATTGAAACCATAAACTTCATAAAGTAAAGCTAAAATTCCACTTGCATATTTTCACATTCATTGCTTTTCATAAGCTGAACACTCGAGCATTAACATTTATATGCCTATCAAACATTTATATGCCTATCAAATTAAAGTTCCAACAAGCAAATTAGTATCAATTCAGAAATATCTATTTCAATTTTGTTAATTCCAATGCACGAATAGTCAAAAAATTAGTAAAAAGTAAAACTGAAGGATTTATTTCCAAAAAGTTAGATACTTTCAATACAGGAGACAAATAAATTGAAACTAGTCTACAACCCCCCCCCAATAAAATGTTGATTCTGATAAACTCCTACTTAATGTTTCAAATTTTGGCATGAATTCTGAGAAAGTACCTGAAAGATACCTGTACATGATCTGAACTCAAGACCTCTCGATCGTGAGATTCCCAATTTGGATTAAAACATATGATATTTTACCCAGCAGCCTCCAGTTCCCGGGACGACGCGTCTATCCAGTGTTTCCTCTCAAGATTCAGGATTCACATCCCAGGATACTTTGTTCCTGAAGCCCGCCACCCCACCTCCATTGGACCTTATGCGACAGGTATGATGGTATTGAATAGCCTCCTGTGTCTTGCACTGCTTTGCTTTTGTGGCATCATTTGTATTGTTGTGTTTTGTGATATTATCAACTGACGTATCATACCCAGATCTCCCTACTGTCAATCATACAGGTGATATTATATGATCACTGTCCATGCGGTAATGAACAATAGGGAGATCTGTAACTGTAACTTTTTAACTTAGTACATGTACATTAAAACTCTTATATGTGAACACCTCAGTTATGTCATGGTCACATTTGCTCCGATCTTCAACACTGGCACCAGGCCAATGAGTATTTTGTTAAAAACTGATAGCAGTTTTGAACAAAATACTTGTATTGCCAGGTGCGGGTACTGAAAATCGGAGCAAATGTGACCATGGCATAATATAAAATGAACCCGTAAAGTGAACTCTTGATGTGTTTTTGTGAAAATGAGAAAAAATGTCATTCTAGTATTTTAAAAGTGAAAACAGAGCATGCAAATAGAAATATTGCAATGTTATTTTTGCTTGAACTAGAATAATGACCAAAAAATACAATCGAGATATATAATAGGACATTGATGTTTTTACCCTGTCTTGAAGAAATGTTCATATTGCAAGGTTTTATTGTACATCACCCATGATAGCTTATAACTAATAATATATTTTTTCTCACAAATTCAACTTTATACCTAAACTGTGTACCATATCCAAAAAGTTTAGTATTATAGAGATGTAACATTCACCGCAGAATGTCACAAAATTGTTGTGTGCCTGTGTGTCTCATATCATCATTATCAATTATATTGCTTTTGATGTTTTCATTTGCTCATGCTTACAGTATTGCTTCAATGGGTCATCATCGTGCTATATCTATATGTATGTTTGCAATGTCAAATCCTGCATGTTATGTTGTTTCGTTAAATGTTCTAGCATGATTCTGTTGACCGAGCATTTCTAATTGTTATTAATACATGTACCTTTAGTAAAATCTGATTTATATCCAAAGCAGACAGACAAAATGTGACTAGCACACAGATTGTGGTCTGGTAAATAAGCCACTGGGATGTAATTTAGAAAAATATCCAATGGTACAGTAAAACTGGTCTGATAGAACACCTCTTTGTTATGAAAATCTCTAGAGTGCATGGAACAGTTATAAAAAGAATCAAGTCCTATTTGTTTACAGTGTATATGTTAATAAACCTTCCCAATGATGATACAACTGTCTAGTATGAGTGTCTACTGCCATTTTGGTGCAATATCACCTATTCTTTGTACAAGATCACCCATTCTTGGTACAAGGTCACCAATTCTTGGTACAAGGTCACCAATTCTTGGTACAAGGTCACCCATCCTTGGTACAATATCACCCATTCTTGGTGCAAGATCACCCATTCTTGGTGCAATATCACACATTCTTGGTGCAAGATCACCTATTCTTGGTTCAAGGTCACCCATTTTTGGTGCAATATCACCCATTCTTGGTGCAAGATCACCTATTCTTGGTTCAAGGTCACCCATTTTTGGTACAAGATCACCCATTCTTTGTACAATATCACCCATTCTTGGACAAGGTCACCCATTCTTGGTGCAAGATCACCTATTCTTGGTTCAAGGTCACCCATTTTTGGTACGAGATCACCCATTCTTTGTACAAGATCACCCATTCTTGGTACAAAATCACCCATTCTTGGTACAAGATCACCCATTCTTTGTACAAGATCACCTATTCTTTGTACAAGATCACCCATTTTTGGTACAAGATCACCCATTCTTGGTGCAAGGTCGCCTTTTCTCAATGAGGTTTGATAATTCTACTTTACAGAGTCAAAAATAAAGATTAATATTCTCTCTTATTTGCAGGGCTCTGGAACAGAGAGTGGTAGCAGTAGTTCTGGGACAGGCACAGAATCCAGTAATGCCTCTACCCCATGTGGAGCGGGGCCCTACCCCTCTTCCCCCTCTGCTGCCTCTACATGGACCAACTGGCCTGACCCCCCAACTTCGAAACCACAGGAACAGCGTAAGTAAAAACATCACTGTTGATAATTAGACACCAACCCTTGATTAACAGATCTAACAGGAGCTAAAGGTGGAATCTTCATACCCTTTGCATTCGTTTGACTTCACTTCTTAAAAGAGAGCTTCGTCTTCACTCTTTCAAACTAAAATAAACCTGTGAACTCACCGCGCCAATCAGTGTTCGTCGGCCAAATTTGACCGACGTTCTATATATGGTCATTCCTTCTGACGTCATCGTTGAGCCCGGAATTGACCAATGACATGCGCATATTTAATTAGAACGCATTTGGCGTATGTTTGTTCAGGCTCGCTGAATGGTGGAAGAAAGGTCAGCGCATAGGTCAGAAGTGATTTATATTATTACCCAAACTGTCACCGGTACCCGTCGTGGGGGCGGGGCTACTAAACTGTAATATGGTCTCTACTAGGCAGAGTGTAGTTTAACTAGACTCTGCACGCAGGGTAGAATCTTCAGAGAACTTGAGTAAAACAGTATACATGTTTTAGGTTTAGTTAATTGTTTAATTAAAACAATGAAAGAAACTCAAAAGAAATTAAATGAAAGAGAATCGAAATCTTTCTTGAAATTTGAAACTTTCAATATTGTCTCAAACTAATTTTAAGAACATTTTCTTATAGCTGTATATGACAGACCACACACCATATCAACAGCATACGAGAAAACACACAACCGACCAGCACTTACGTCGCAAACATTTCAACCCCCGGAACAACAACAACAGGAGATGGCGCCACCATCATCACACGTGAGCCTCCGAGATAGGGACCCATCATCTAATCCCAACAATCGTGGTTCAAATAGCTCACTAAACAGAAGACAGAGTGAGAGATCCCTTGATCGCAGAGATGGACGATCTGCACCTCCTGTTGGCCCGAAGCCAAAGGGGAAACCTGTGGCTCCACCTATGGTTCCAGACTTACCTCCTCCGATGCCTCATGTTCCAGACTTCAACATGCATCCGGCTAATTCTTGTAAGACCTTTGTCATGATTCCTTTAAATGATTTTTATATGGACCTCCTTAAGCCTGTGTTGTTATCAAGAAATCATTCTTGTCATTAAAAGAGAGCATTTACATTGAGACATACCAATCAATATAATCCACCATATATTAAGATTTTAGTTCTGAAAATGAATATGAATTAAAGTTGATCCATTGAACTATTCTAATTGTTAATATTGCAGTTAAGTTTGCGTTCTATTTCAGTATTGCTACAGTTAAGTTTGTGTTCTATTTCAGTAATGCCGCAGCCAATCTATCTAAACCACAATGAGTTAGCAGACCTCCCCCCTCCCCCACCCCATGAGGAACTAGACCTCCAACAGCTTGGGGAGCAACAGATCTATGAACTACATGAACAGCAGATGCAGTCAGAGACTGAAAGTGGCGCAAGCACTCCACAGGTAAATACACAATTTGACTTTGAGTCATTGAGAAATCAGATATTAAATCATTCTGTATACAGATTCATAGGATCAATACATCGTCAACGCATCCCATTGGACTTCATGTTGAAGCCTTTAAATGTTCTCCAAATATCAAAAATTTCAATTTGTCATACATTTTAGACTTGGCAATTGAGGAAGAAAATAAAATTAAAACATTACTTGGCTTTAGCATGCTAACCAATTGGGAGATCAGTGTTGCCAATGCCAGACCTTTGGAAAGTCGATATCATAGCTTTTTGTACAATACTTTTAGGATGACATTTTGAGTCTATGCCAAGTAGGACGTGTTATACCATCAAACAGCTTTGTATTCTATTAGTACCACGAGTTACCATATATAGCACAGATAACATATTTGGGTGCATAGCGATTGAAATAGACTTTTATGTAGACAAATATACATAGAATACTAATGACAATATATTGATGTAGAGACTTATTTTACACCCCTCGTATACTAAAATACCTAGGGTTTCAGTACTGCATGTTATGTTCTCAGTGGTTCAGCATCTTTTTCTAACAATGTTGACAATTTTACACCCTTTCTTATGATGTTTCAATAAAACAGGAAAAATATTATTGTTTTATTATGCATGGATATAGCATGACAGGGAGTCCCCTTGATGCATGAGTGACAATGTCATATACTCTCCTGAACCCCCCCCCCCCCCCCTCTTAAAAGACTATTGGATGCATTGGGAATGTCATATGCTATTAGTAAATGACACGAGGCCCGTAGCCAGGATTTGCCAAGGGGGTTCACTGTTTGAAAAATTCCAGGGGGCCAAAATCACTTAAAAAGTGCTCAGAATGATGAAAAACTGCATGATTTTGAAAGAACTTTTGACCAACCTACCTAACGCTACGGGCCTGACAACATTTCAATCCTCCATCCTGTATGTGATATTAGATGCTGAACCATTGTAGATATTTTACAGTACAACTGAACACTACACTACACTGAGTCCATACTGACAAGGCAGGGTACTCACTAGGCTTTAGACTGAGACACAACACCTCTCTCTAATTTGCCTCAATTCTATATTGCCTCAATCATTATCTTAAAGAAACATTGCCTCAAACAGCATCTCAAAAATAGGCTTAAAAATAGCACTTAAAGTGTCGATGTGGGATAGATTTTTTCAAAAGTATATTAAAACTAATGAGATTCTGTCAAAAAATGTCCTTGACCCCTTGAGGTGTATACTTATCCTTGTGAGTATTCTGTTAAAAGTCATGGTGGTTCATCCATTTCATTGTAGAAAATTCTGAATTAACCTTATAACAAAAAAGTTGGAAACCAAAGATTTGGGAAATATCATTTCAACTATGTATTCTGTAATTTTTAAACATTCACATTTTCATTCATGATTGGTCATTATGTACTCATGAAAATAAAACCAAAATTCTCACCATATACAGAAGATCTACTTTTCTGAAAAAGAATAAAAAATGTGAGATTTTATTAGACTGAACACTTATTTCAGTTCAGCGTAAGTTCTTCCTAGGATTTTAAGTTTTGCAGCTGGGGGAAATGTAGTACAGTACTCCAAATTTTCAATCAATGCTGGCCAAGATGCTTGAATTTCTTGGAATTATAAGTCTTGAAGAAACCAAAGAAGTTGAATAGATGAATCGCCATGTAATCAACCAGGCAAAGTTGTAGTCCAACATGTATTGTAAACCTGTAGTGGTTGTTTTGTTGTGTATGATTAACTGCATGGTGTTTTTACCAAGCAGCCCTGGGATACACTCGACCTCTCTGCAGCCATTAAAGCCCTAGATGCGTGCACCGCTGATGCGTTAGACCCTCGCTATGATGAGGACTCAGAGAAGGCAAGGCAGTTTGCAGTGGAGCACTCTATAAATTCACCTAATTGCTTATATCCAAGATATGAAATAAGAATAGTTCAGAGACTTACAATCAATATACTAGTGTGAAACTTTGAGGATTGAAGACCTCTTTAGATTTCATCTACCAAATTCACTTCTCGCAGTTTTTTGCAGTTTACTCCGAGTTGAAATAATGAATTGTGCGAGTGAAATTTAAGAATTCAAGATCTTGTAAATCTATATGGGTAAATTCTGCATATTCTAAGAAAATTTTATGTTGCAAGTGATGGACTCCTTCAATCATGGTGAATAATTACTCAAATAAGAGGTCCACATTAACTAGCCTCCATTAGAAACCAGTCTCAATTTACTGTTTCATATCTTGGAGAAAACCCTAATTGTCACTAAGTTATATCCATGAAAAGTGTTTTATACAAAATAAATCCTTAAAAAGTTAGGTAATAGCATCATTTTGTAAGGCTTCTTTTCATGGATATTCCTTTTGTCATAATTGTTGTTTCAAGTACAGCTTTATCACCTTGAAATCTTACTATCACATCACCATGACATCGCAACATCACCATGGCAACAATCCTACTCTGTGACATCATTAGTATAATTCTTATTAATGCTATAACAGCATTTAGAATAGAAACACTGTATAGTAATAAATTGTGTAATAGATACACATCTGCATAAATTATTCACATCTGCATAAATCATTCACATCTGCATAAATAAATACATTCACATCTGTATAGATAAATAGACACACATCTGCAAATTATCCTCTGCACAGATATTCCAAACAAATCTGCATAGTCAACCATTTCACATCTGTGTAAATAAACCAACTCACATCTGCATAGATATACACATTCACATCTGCCTATACTGTATCTCACATCTGCATTGATGTATAAGTGATAAATTCATCAGATGTGTTGATGCATGATATCACATACTTCTTTCATTGTCTAGCTTTTAGACAAACTGATCAAGTCATACATCACTTCACAGCGTATCATATAACACAAGACAATATTTCATCTTATTATAGGGTGTGTACCAGGGGTCAAATAAAGGACCTCTACCTCCATAGTAAAATACACCCCCCCCCCCCTCCTCCGTATGGGATTGTGGATAGATCTGGTTAGCTCACATGGTGAGCTTTTGCAATCACTCACTTGTTTTTATTAAGGATTTCTAGCATCCCCTAGTGCACCATTCTTAGGTCAATAAAAAAATAAGGACCATCCCCTATATACATCCCCTTCCCACCACCATCCCCTATATACCTCCCCTTCCCACCATGGGTAATAGATAAAAGCAGAGGGAAATTAGGGAATTCTGGCTCATCTACTCTACCCCCCACCCTCCCCCCATACCTACAATATACATGTTATTCATCTTGATTCATTAACTATAATTCTTGTTCATTAGTTTTAGCTAATTTACTAGGATTATTTATACAGGAAAGAAATTTAAATTTAAATCTTTCCAAACTTTATTGAGGATTTGGATAATTTGGTATTTATTCATCTTATGATTTATATTTGTTTGATTTTATTTGGATTATCATTTGTTTGGTTTTCATGCTTTATATTTTATTTTGTTGATTATGATTTGTTTGCTATTCAGAACTAACTTTTCTTCTTTTAAATACTTTATAGCATACAATATACCTGCGATTTAAATGTGTTATCATTAATTTAATTTGAGTGAAAATGATAAATATATGTTACCTCTTTTATATTTTAAATGAGCATGGATTAAAAATTATATTATTTGTAAATGTAATATATTCTACATGTATTACCATTGCAAGCAGCCTGCCGGTTTTTACCAAAATCACTTGCTGTTTTGAGGAATTTTATCTACTTTTCAATGTTGAAATTATAATTTTTAATCGTCTGTTGTTTTCATCAATTTTCTCAGTTGTTGTTGATGAGAAAAAGCCAGTCGACTTCGTAGCTCAGCTGGTAGAGCATCCGAGATCTAATCGGGAGGTCGTGGGTTCAATTCACACCCTTAATGTAGGATTTGATATTATGTTTCGAAGAGAATTAATTTTCTTTGTTGTTTTTGTTCATTTTGCCTGTCGTTTGAAATTCTAATGAAATTTCAGCTGTTTGAGAATATTGAGATCTGTTGTTGAGATGATCAGAAATCACGACAACTCCATACGTGAAACATATTCCATAATGTGGCCTTATAGTTTGGTGAATCTTTGCAGACACCCAATTCTTTAGAGTTAGCCGCAGCCATTAAAGAACTTGAAGAGAGTACAGCTGCACTGACCATGGCTTACGATGGCGCAGAACCAGCACCCGAGAGCAGTCGTGACAGCCAAGCAAGCCTCCAGTGTTCAAGTGGGTATGGTACGATGACTAGTACACCCTCTGGTTCTGAGGACATGGTGGCCTCCCAAGGTAAGAAAGTGTTTTGTGGTGTAGTTAGTGTAGTTGGAAGGGGAGGAGGTTTAGCCAATACCCTGAGATGATGCAAAAGTTACAGTGTGACCAAAAGAATGGAACCCTCTAATTTTTGGATAACCTTTGCCAAATTGTTGGTACTGTACATGTTTATAACTGTTTTACACATTGGAGCTTAATTTACATACATGAATTCCACAAGATTTCATCATAATTGAGAAATATCAAAATGAGAGTGTTTCATCTTTTTTGGCACTCTGTATAAAAAAAGAATCAATGGTTAATCTCAGTGTATTATAATCAGGAATACATGAACACCACACACCAACCAGGGATTGCATAACATCATGAAAATACACAGACAGTACATGTACTTCAAAATAATACAAAAACCATGGTAGAAAACATCATCAATGGGTATTGGTTCATTGCATGCACATATAAAATTATACAATTAGAATCTCCATCTAAATATATCATTGATTTAATCGTGCATTTTGTTCATACATTTTGACCTCCAACCTATTTTGATTGCATGCTATCTTGCCCATATTATTGTATTGCTTCCAAGAGTTCATTTGAATTGCTTCATACGCATAATGTCAATGTTGTTATTTAAGTTAAAAAATACTTTTGAGTTCTATATTATTTTTTAGAGATTTCATTATATGTAAACTAATAATATATGCAACGGTTGATATGTAATGAGCAGGAGCCATAATTTGATTGGTTCAGAGTTGGCTACGAAGTGTGCTGCTGCACCAATCAGATTACATATATTTATGGTTTACTTGTATAGCGAAATCTCTTTTATTACAAAACAAATTAGTTATTTCTAGTAGCAGATCTTTATTCAAACTCATACCATCATTGGAAATCTAATCTGTTATTCTAATGCAGCTTTCATATGGTATATAACATCATTAATAGGTAAATGGGATATTGTCTAATCATAGATCTTTAATACTGTCTTGCAATTGGATGGAACTTTTATATAATAGTTATAATTCTTGTGGAAGGAGGATATTTCCCACTATTGACCACACGTTCCAAAGATTTCTGGGATATTACACCCTCCCTTGGTGAGTTGTGGAATTGGGATGCTGGGAAAAGAATTTTTTTAAACTTAAATTGGGATCCTATAGACAGTTGTTTTTTTCTGTATAAACCCAAGTCAAAATGTCTAATTGAGGCTACATTTGTTTATTTTTTATTTTTGAATGTTTTTCTTTTGTGATTATACAGTATTTTCTGAAATGATTATGAGTTTTGAACAAAGATCTGCTCGAATGTTGATCTGGAATGTGTGTTGTCAGTAGATGTTTTATTACAGATGTCGCCACCTACTCACATGCAGAAAGAGCGCCATCTATTGATAGATTTTCCACCATACCTCGAAGTGGTGACGTAAGCCATACTTTTAGGGCACCGGTGACGCCTAAACGGCCCGCTTCAACTGCAGGTGTGACAGTCTCCCCTCAAACTATCTCTCCCAGCTTCTTGGTGTGAAATGTCACGAAGCGTCATGAATTTTTGGACATTTTTTATCTATCATATGAAGAAAATAATCCACACATACTGTTACAGCAAAATGGAAATTTCTTATTTAGTTTACATCGAACATTTAAACTGTCTTTTTGATTGTCGTGGGCTGTTTTATCTGCCTATTTTGTTCTACCCTCTGGGTTTTAAAACTAGATCGTATAAAATCAAAATAATTTTTGGACTTGGACTTTGGACAAGATGCGAGTCGATTCTGATGCATAACCACAAAAATGGCTGAAATTGAGATTGCACATTTACTGTTTTTAGATCTTTAAGCCTACGATTTTGATCACATGTCGCAAATAAGTCAGAAAGCAACCTTCATGACATTTTCACCACCCTACCTGCATGACACTATTCTTTGCTTTGTTTGTTGGTGTTCTTTTAAAACTCACATTTTGTCCTGTTATACATTTTTGATATTTAAGAAACATGTTTTTGTAATTCTGAATTGCACATTACTCCTCCTTCTATCTTGATTAAATATGTGCACTCAAATAAATTAACATGTGAGTGTCATTTCATTGAGTGTTCATAAGATACTCAATGAAAGTAGTGATATAGATGATAGGTCACTAGATAGCTATTTTCATCCATTTGAGATCTACTTGATCTTAGGTAAATTGAGCTGTATATTTATAATCAAGATATACTAATATTATTGTTTGAATGTTTACAATTTGAACATTAAGTTGAATTAATGTTTTTATATTCACTGATGTTGTATTTGATGCACACTTTAATAAAAACACTATTTCTGAATATGTTGTAGTGGATTTTACATTAAAACTTTGTTGATCTGTTGTATACAAAAAAAAACAGATAAAGTATTACATCTACGTGTATCCATATTTAAAATTTGATATCCATTTTCCACAGATAAATAAACATTTCAATAAACATATATTATTGAAATGGGATTCTGGTGCATGTCATAAAAATGTTTTTGGGAGACATACCAAGGTTTTAAGAAGTGAGTTGTTCACAAATTCAGCATAAAAGGAGTTTGAGTTTAACCTAATTTTTGGGAATCACGTAAAAATCATGGACTATGTTTTATGTTAATGGAACTGTTGGTATGCATGTTTTTTCTACTACCGAGTTTCAAGTTTTGGTAACTATACTTATGCACTGGTTTATATCTATTAAGGAATGCTTCATTGCGGGGAAATTCCAACAGAGCATGTTTGGTTAGTGGTTGTGTAGAATGACTCAACTTTTAATCTTACGTTTTCAAAAGAAAATAAATTGGGCCCACTATTTAAAATTGTAAGTCCATTTTTCAATAATTTAGCCCTATTTGTCGAAAAAGGTCACTTGAAAAATGTAGGCCCTAGTGGGTCTTATGAGTACGAGTAGAATGATTCTATTGCTTTCTCACATACGTGTTGAGCCGTTCTTGAAAGAACAGGAAGGGGCCAAGCCCAAAATATTATTTTTATACATTCTCTTGCTTGATATGAAATAAGAAATTTGGGTCCATTACTAAAAATGTAACTCCATATTTCAAAAAAAAAAAACTCTAAAAAGGTCGGTTGAAGAATGTTAGGCCCACTTCCCACTTTTAGACCCCCTGGATCTACCAGTATACTGTATGTAATAGACTATCTGATCATCATTAAATCTCACCTCAACACCCTAGAATTCACATGATTATTATTTATACCAGCATCAGGACAAACTCAGACATCAAAATAAATGATATGATATTTATTTTACAGGCATGCCTTCAGCCCCAAATCCAGCCGGACAAGTACGACGTCACTCGGTCCAGGCCAAACCCCCACCCCCTGTACGCAGATCATCATCAATAAGCGCAGCTCCCCCGGCTACTCTGCCGACCATTCGCCAGGGAGGAGCAATGGCTAAAGAGACCCAGGGGACTCAGCATCACAGGAGGACCCATAGCGATGTAGGGGAAACAAACACAAAGTTGGCAACCCGCCGTAATATGACGGCTCCAGAGCAATTATACGCCACACCTATAGTACCAGGGAGTAATATATCCCCGCAGATGCATAGTGGAAATGTTGCGGAGCCCATGTATGCTATTCCGAATAAATCTCCCGGTGGCCCACAGAAGGATTATGCCACCCCTCAAGTTACCCCACAGGTCACACAAGAACTTCAAGCCAAGCTTGCGGCTATGGCAAACAAACAGAAAGCTCCCCCACAGGTTCTTCCTAAGACCCAGGGGGCTGGTTCTCACGCCCATCAGGCAAACCCAAACTCTCAATATCAAGCTGGACATAATGGAAATGTAACTAATGGTAGAGAAAATGTTATTCAGAGCCTAAACGCGGAATTTGCCGCCAAACAAAAACTACAAACAACTAATTCTAAACCTCCACCAGGACCAAGCAAGAAGCAATCTCCAGTAGCTAATAATATAGACAACCAAACAGTGCTAAACAATGACTTATCAGTAAATGAGGGATCTGGAGGATTCTTAGGTCAAATACAACGGGGAGTGAAATTGAGACGGACTATTTCAAACGATCGATCAAGTCCAAGAGTTAAACGAAATTAATGTATAGGTCAATCATGGAGTGTGTTCAAATGTTCAGATGTGTATTTATAGAGCGCTATTTATATGAAAATGTATGATTATATGAAATGTATGTATATTACCCAGAATGCCATAGGTGCTTGAGTAGCACAAAACATTTAATTCTAGTTGGAAACCAGTAAATTGTAAATACATGACGTCAACATGTAAATAGATAGGAATACTTAGACATAACTACTTTATAGACTGTAGTTTTGATAGCCAAATATTAGCACATCTACTACGATAGCAATGGTTGGTGTTAATATAAATTTCTTGAACAGTTGAGACTAACTTGAGAAAAATCACCTACCTGTCATTGATTGAAATGATTTTTTTGGTCATGTTAATGTCAGCCTTTGCTTTGGTCATGTTAACGTCAGGCTGTGTTAAAGTCAAAGTTAAAGGCTCATTTCAGTGTGTTCACCAGGGGCAATCCCATCTGAAATATTTATAAGAATACTTAACTGACCTACTTAAATGAAGATCTGATACCATGCACCAAGCAGTATCAAAAAATATATTTCTGGAGTGTGAGCATTGCCCCTGGACATCCCTGGTGATGACCTGGTGAGGCCATCTATATTTGAAAGACCTGACTGGCTTGACATTCTAACCTCGGGCATGACCTCTAAAAAAATTCTCATAATGCAAAATGAAATCAAACAATCACAAAAGGAAAGGATGTCAAAGACACAAATGAATATGTCGCGATTAGGTACAATGCAAATTAGACGATAATCTCAATATGTATTTAATTTTATAAATGCTATATTTTCCACTGTGTAAATATATATTGAATGTTATAGATAGCGCTGCACACTTCGACACACATTGTAAATTATGTACAAAAAATGTACTGTGGAGTTGAACTGTAAATATATTGCAATACAAACCCTTCACTATTTCTGCAATAATATTAATTAACAAGAAATTCCTTGCTTTTTCACAGTTATCATTGGAATTACATATATGTAAGAAATGTCAAGAAATTTTAAAGTTATCATATTTGCATTTATTTTAACATACTCAAGTTAAATGTGCACCGTGAACTCTGTTTCAGAATTGTGTTTTTGCTATTGCTTTTTCAATACAGTAAAACTTGTGTGAAGTGAACACCTATGGAGCCACACCACGCAAAATGTGTTCACCCGATGTAGGTGTTCACTACAGAGAGACAATTTACACAGCACTGAGTGAAGTATGTGCTGAGAAGAGGTGTCCACTAGACACAGTTGTTCACTAGAAACAGGTGTTCACTAGAAACAGGTGTTCACTAAGACAGCTTTTACTGTACTTTGATCAGTTATTGATCCATACAAACATGTTTATTGTCAAACACTGAAACTCACAACAAACATCAATATGAACATAATCAGAAGCAACTACAATCATGAAGAATATTCCTCAAAAACAGAATATACTAGCTTACACAGGTATATGTTGATAGAAAATGAATATACAGTACATGTATACAGTTTTTACCTAGAATAAATGTTAAGATGCAAAAATACCAGGGTAAAAAGACAATGCACCGGAGAAATATTGTGAAACTTGGGCATTTCTCACTAGAAAAATAGGGCATACTAGAAGCTAGGGCATTTTGTTGCTAGAACCAGTGAGAAGGTATTTACCCTAGAGCCCCCGTGAATAAGTTCTACTGTAGCACAAGGGAATGAATTCTATGTATAAAATACTTGTTTGACTATGTGCAGATATTACAGTGCCAAATTATTATCAAAATGTTTTAGGCTGAACTGAAATGTACTGAGTGCAATCACTGAACAGTATCAATGTCCAATATTAAAAAGTTGTTATTTAATGGGAGGTTTGAGATGCATATCCTCTGAGGGATAAACCTTGTATCTAAAATGACCATAGATAATAAATGTATCTCATATTTACTGAGGTTCCTTTTCATTGTCTGAAATTTTGAATTATGGATGTAGAAAATGCAATGTTAATTGAGTTTGCTAAAATGGAGATAGGGGACAGATACAGATAATATCCATCCCCTGGATACACTATATATTCCCACATCCTATCTACCTAGAACCACAGCAGGCATGGGAAGAACTCAAGTACCCTTAGCATATATTTGCTTTATGAAAGTACATTTACATGCCTGAAATATAATTATTTAAAATTACTGTTTGAATTAAAATGAATAATGCAGTCAAGGACCTTTGAATGAACAAAATAGTGATTTTGAATTTACAATTAGGCAATAGCCTTTTGAATAAACTAAAAGATTTTACAGAGATTAATCTTAGCTAGTTAATTTTACCAAGTTTTATGGATACTGATCTCGCGTTGAATGTTTGGTGATTTTGATAAGCAGCAGATCTCTTTTATGTACGTTTGTAATTATTTTCCATGAACATTCTATTTGAAATTAAATGCTCTGAGCTTCGGTATTTATTTATATTTAAATATGCTGACTGTGCTGTAGTTATAAGCTGTAGTTGTTATTTTGAGCTGTATTTGTTTCGATGTATGCATAATTTCACTTTAATTAAGGCATAGTAAGGTTATACTATAGACTAGTATTTTTGTTCAAAATTAAGAATTCGTGTTTGGTTAGTGTTCCATGTAAACCAACATAGACTATTCTAATCATTAAAAAGATTAGCCAGGGGATGTGTGACTTAAAAAACTCAAGTTCAGAAAAAACTTGGTATATTGAACTTTTCTTTCCTGAGAAAAAATGTTCAGTGTTTGTAGGTGTTCACTACATAGAGAGTAATTTGATCAGAAGTCAGTAGAGTATTTGCAGAGGAAGGGTGTCCACTAGAGACAGGTGTTCACTAGAGAGAAGTGTTCACTAAGACATGTTTGTAGTTGAATTGATTCATTGAACAAGTCATCCAGAGTCAAATTTTGATATAAACAGAAGGGGTGAGGAGAGAAAGAAAAATAGAAGCAGATCGAGGAACAATAATGGGTTTATTCTAAATCACATTTGGCAATGTTTAAACGTTTAAAGTCATAAGAAAAATGTGGAAGTTTATGGAACACTAACCAAACTTGACCTGAGAATTTTAAGCTTTTCATTGTTTTGTGTTTTGAATACATGTAAATTAAAACCTGTAAATTTGAACACTGGCATATATTTCATATCGAATTCTCCCGTAAAGGATATAACGGTTACCTTTGGGGTCATTTAAATTTTATCAGCATCAAAACTGTATTTGTATCTGCTATTTAGAGATACCTGCATTATTCAAAGTATAAGTTACTTTTTGATAAAACTGTCAAATAACAGAGACGGTGTTCTTTGATCGGTAACTCTAAATTTTGTTGACAGTTTTATTTCTTATTTATGTTAGTAGATGAACAGTGTTCATTTATAGAGGATTTGCTGTATCTCAGACTTCTATGTAAAGATATGTCATCTTATCTAAGAAATGATTGTTTCATGTATGTTTAATTGTAATTTTTTGTTCAATATAAATTGAAACTTTTAAATGACATTTAGTTAATAAAGATAATAAGCTGCAATGTATCGACATTTATATACACATACATATAATATGGTACATGTTATAGTATGTACACCATAATGTACACATATGGTATATGATATGTATACATACCTATAATATGGTATATATTATGTTCACACACACAAAATATGGTAAATGTTAGTCACTACATTGACAAAACATTGTCAATACATTGACATTGAAAAAAAGATTTTAACTATTATTATGACATCAAAATGTTAATGAACACTTTGTAGCTTCAAGCTTATATTAACACATTCAAATTATTTTTAGTTAATTGCTTCGTTTTAGTCTCTTTGAGCAAGAAACTGTGCAAACAATAGTCTCTTCAAAGTACAAACTCGATCATGCTAAACAAACAGTTCTTAAAGACCATGTTGTTATGTAATACATGATACTGTAAGTGTAACTTTAGATAATAATGTACAAGCATAATCGTGAAAGGATTTCTGTTTGTTAGTGCTACCATTTTAATTTATTTATATTTTGAGGCAGTGTTAAGAAATCCATTAAGAGTGAAGTTTCATGTGAATGAGATAGGTATTGTAAAGCATATAAAGCTTTCTTTTAAATTATAGATAAAATGTATTAAATATATGCTATTGTATGTTTGCTATATTTCATCATCACAAATCATCCAAAACAAGATGATCAATCCCCTCTTTTCAGGTTGTTTCAACCATAACAAGATGATTGATCCCCTAGCTTTCTTTCAGATTGTTTCATCCATGACAAGATGATCGATCACCTCCCTTTCTATAAGGTTGTTTCATCCAAAACAAGATGATCGTTCCCCTCCCTTTCAGGTTCTTTCAAGGTCATCAAAGGTCAAAATTAATTCTCGAGGATAGTTGATTAATGAAAAGGCTGCATCAGCATATAAGATTTGAACCAAATCAGAAGACCGGCATTTGAGTTATCAAAGATTACATTTTTAAGTAAAGCGACGACCGTGGGGAAGACGTCTCCTTGAGTAGAGCGGTGGGTCATGTATTCATAAGATGTAAAGCTAAGGGCGAAGATAAATATGTAATGTAATTGCCACCTATATTCATTCATGAAATGTCTATATCCTTTACGACTATAATGTATAAATACGACACAAAGTTTCATGATGATTGAATGCCGGCTTATCTCTCTACAAAGAGGAGCGTCGACCTTGGGGAAGACCTTAAGTGGAGAGATGGGTCATGTTTTCAATGTACTTTGTGCCGACATCCGTCCAATGCGTCCATTATGTACTGTGTATTAAATGATTTTGTATATTTTTCATCAAATATTATTAATTATCTCCAAGAATGGAGGGAAAATAAACATAATAATAATAATAATAATAAGGACTGATGTGAAAAAATCAGTCAACCCCAGAGGGATCGAACCCACAACCCCTCTTTTTCTATCCCTGAGCTCCAGGACTGACTTTTCCACATCAACACTGCATAATCAGCATCGCGGTCATGCCTTACATGCCCAGTTTCCTGGAAACCATATAAGCTATCTGCCTTTCCAGGTTGTCAATCACCAGGACACAACATTCATATTATCAATACATTTAACAATTTATTTTTATAAATGCTGATTGTAACAATACACATGTAAATAGATTAATAATTTATAAAATAATCACATTAGTATCACTAATTCAATAAAAATTTAGCGCACTTAATACTACGCTCAACAAAATTAATGTTTATTGCATGAAAAGGCCTTGTAAAGAGCCATAATGTCCAATTGAGATCAAACAATGTCATCACTATATAACAATGAGATTCTTAATGTTTGGTGGTCAAAGTTATGTCCTGTGTGGAAGTTGCCTTCTGGGTAGTTGTGACCCCCTCTGCTTCCTCAGATTCATCTGATTGGCCACCAGCATCCTCTGATGATTCCTGGGATATATAATCCTCCAGTTTTCCACCAAAATCAAACGGTCCACGGAGGAATTCATTCATATCTAATACACCATCATCTGAAACAGACAAAATAACATTTTTAAGATAATGTTCAACTATATGCACAATTTTTTCATTTTAGATCAGAAACAAAATCAGACCCTCGGATCTTGATGTGTGTTACATGATTGTTTCGTTTGTGATTTCTGACAAATATCACATTTTGAGCACATTCCAAGTGATTCAGGGGCAAAACTGTTAAATTTGACCCCCTCCCCCTTTAAAAGTCTTAGAAACTGACCCCCCCCCCCTCCCCTTTGGCAAAAAGCTGGCTACGGGCCTGTTTTTTAACTTACCATTTAAATCAACCATTCCAAAGATCTCAACACATTCTGGATTTTCTAGTCAAAAAAGATATTTCGGATAATTTAATCCCGGTGTAAACGGATAGGAGGTCCTATCAAATTATGGTCCTACTCTCCATTGATTTATATGGTGACCTAAATACAACTCTTTCCCTCATTATCTTATACGCAATCAGGGCCAGTAAGGGCCGTTGAGAAAGGGGACCATAATCCCCGGGGGACCATCATTTCTTTCACACCGGCAAACCCCAGAGGAACTCGACATGGACATGCATGTATCTATTAAGATGCGAGGAATAAAATTTACTTTTAGAAGTCTGAGATGAATTAAACATGGAACCCTTCAGTCTTGAAAACTTGGAAAAATTGCTCGAAAATGTGGCCTTCGGCGCGGCACACAGATTCTTTTTTAAGTCATCATTTTTTATTCAATTGTTCAATTTTATTCAAAAATGATCTCATCACATAAGGTGTTTTGTGTTCATTCAAGCAAAATAGTTGAACAAATATTACATTTCTGAGCAGTTTAGACACCTGAGCAGTTTGGCCGAGTGGGTTAGACTGTGGGTTGAATGTACCGGGGGATACGGAGGTCCCGCGTTCGAGCCCCAGGTACGGAGTTGTTGATCATTGTCACTACGGACACCCGGTCCGAAGGTCCAACCGTATACTGGCCCTTGGCATGGGTTGGTTCTCTGACCGCTTTTGTCGGAGACAGATTGTGAGACTGTGGTTGGTTCCTCCACTAACGTGCTTTGGTAGACTCCGGGAGTCATACAGTATGGTAGCGGGCCCCCACCAAGGGCAGTAGTGGAACGACGCGAATCGGTCCCAGTATGGTTGCCGTGCAACTGAAGAGACTCGAGGAAATCATGCCATTCGCGGTGACCCAGAAAAGACTTTTGCTTTTTGATACAACTTTTTTCATTTTTCATTCGATCAAATAAAAGCATGATGACATCATTCGATAAATATTCCTCTGTGATGAGCTAGTTGCAAATTTAAAATTGTATAACTTTTATCAATTTTTTTATTCAATTAAGCATAATCTCATCACGTAACAGCATCATGTTCATCATCAAACGATGTTTTATAAGTATAACTTTACGTTCATATTTCCGACGAATAATTATTCTGACTGAGTTACATAGCTCCATTTTAGAATCTGAATGATGGAAACAATTTTCGTAGCGCTCCAAGATGAGGCAGACAAGGCACTCGTCTCGTCGCTTGGAAATATTTCCCCCCCGTCGTTTTTTCTTCCTGGTTACGCTACTGCTTCTCACAAGATTAATAAAATTGAGAGTATTTGTGATGTGATTATGGTGGGACAGATGGGAGGGGGTAATTTAAATCAATTAAGATAAATCTATTCTAAACAAAAACCCTACCAGATTCATATATGTCTGTTTGCACTATCACCAATGTTAAATGAATTACAGAAGCTAAAATAAAGTTGACAGAGTTGCTATTGGTTGTAAATAAATGACCATCAAGAAACATCCGTGTTGTGAATGTAGTATGAGACTGAAGCTGACTGAAGTCCATGTCTGAGGTAAGAGGAACAAGGACTACACGGAATGTTAACATTTTTAATTTTTGATATGAACCATCAGGCCGGGTGATTTTTAGCCTATGTAGCTGACCACATATGACATATAATACAGAAGATATGTTTTGTACTTTAATATTTATATTATTCACAATTTATTAAATCTGAGTTACATTACAGATGTACATGTATTAAATAATGGGTTATCTCCATATAAACATGAAGTCTGTGGAGTCCAAGAACAGTCATGATTTACATTTAATTTATACATTCCAGGAGTGGAGACTATTCTCTTATCATGTATTTGGCATATTTTTAGAGGAATTGCCAGGAACCTTAAAATGGCAGCAAAGATGAGAGACAATTCATTTTCTAAAATTGTCAAGATTTTTTTCTCAAAAAACACAATCTCTTCCCTTTTTCTAAAAGGCTGTATTTCACATAATCTTTAAATTATTTCTTAATTATCTGGCAATCATTTTGAAAAAAGTGGATGTTTTTCAATTTCGAATGAATTCAGCCAATCCACATCTGAATTCCTCAACAATTACCACATATTAGATCAGACATTTATATAAATGTTAAAAGGGCATACTTATTTTGAAAAGATATTGCTTGCAACATTTTATATTCTCTTTCCTTTGCTGCCACTTTAAGGTTATGTCCACACTGAAAATACTGTAAAGTCAATGTTTTCATGCTTACATTTTTTACAAATCAGACACTGCATTTTCTATAGCACATTGCAATATATATATATTATATTTGGCATGATCTACTTGCAAAATATATCCATTGTGGTCTTGTATTTATATTATAGTATTTTCTTCACAGAGACTGAAAATTTACTATGGAATATTCTTGAAGAATCACACTCAATAATGTGATTTTTTTCCAAAATTATTTTCAGAAATTTCTTAGCTTTATGGTGAATTCACATCTTGGCATTCAATGGTCTACTGAGCATTTCTCAATTGGACAAATACCATCGCAAGAAAAGTATGAAGAATATTAGAATGATGATTTCCCTTTTCAGAATTTCAAAGATTGACATCGATGGTAAAATCATGAATTTCAAAATACAAAATTCACAAATCATTTCATTAATAGCAAGTGTTAGCGAATTTAACATGTCTTATAAATGTTTCAACTTTCCTCATCTCAGTTTAATCTTAATCATCACACTGCAATGTTTCAAAATCCAAAAAAGCCGAAAAAATGACCAATGAAAACTCCCAATTCAGACAAGGAAATAGGAAAATCAATGACCCATGTTACATTTTGCAATATGCTTTTACAAAGGAAGCAGCATATGTAGAATGGAATGTCTCAAACATAGGGCTAATTCTGTTATAGTTCATAATATATATTTTTCATATTCTAATTTCCTTTATGCAGCAAAATATATATGTGAACACTCTGTAAATACTATAGGGGAAAGTCTTAAAATGAGAACACTTTCAGTTCCATGTTTTGAATGTTTTTATTCCAAATTTCATCTGAATTGCACAGTGAACACCTCTTATGCAATAAGGTCCTAACAGTCTTCATGATAGAAAGTTTTTTCTATATATATATGTCTTGAATTATTTACTATGGTTGAGTTAAGTTGACTTGGGGTTGAGTTTTATTTAGTTTTATTGACTTGGGATTCAGTTTTACTTGGTTCTGTTGACTTGGGATTGAGTTTTATTGGATTCATTTGACTTGGGATTGAATTTTACTTGATTGAGTTGACTTGGGATTGAATTTCACTGGGTTCAGTTGCTTTGGGGTGGAGATGACCAGGAAGCTCATTTGACCAACTCAGGAATCTCTTTTTTTTAATTTTAAAGACATCATATAATTAAGGTTGTTGCATAACATGATTTAACACTGTTAAACAAAATATGATTTAAAAATTATTGTAATTTCACGACTAACGCATGCGGTTTTCTCAATTCATCACTTAATGAGTGGGATTTATCAACAAGAAGAGTTTCAAGGAAATAGTCTTAATATGGGTAGGCTGAATTCAAGATGTTTGTTAAAACCCCCAGTTTGCATGAGGTTTTGAATGGGAAATGGTGCCAAGTGACGACCCAGTGATGAGACATGATTCATTGCACACATGCTTAGAGCCTAATAATCAGATACAAAAACACATCATGCCAATTTTGCGAATTACAATACAGCGTTTTAAACACTAATTTGCATTTCGTGAATACCCTTCAAGAGATCATCTCAGTGGTTATGGCTTTCTTTTGAAAGAACATCAAAAAAAACAGAAGAAAATCTTCAGTATCAAATAACAGGGTTAAAGTCAATACCCAAAATTGAAGAGGAATGCAAGAAAACTTCAGCATTGTTCAAATTGTGGAAGAGAAATGTACCATAACAACTGAGCCAACTCTTGGATGTTTCATCACGTTATAAACAACAGTCCACATTGAATTAGTTCTCGATTAACCTAATACTCCACTTCAGGTTCATGTTATAGTAAAAAATTGTATATCCTAAATGTTTGTGTAGATACCCCTTGGAGGGGCTATAGGTGCTATTGCCATAGGTTGTTGGGGAAATTACTAACTTCGCCTTGTTCAGTTACAGGAGAACCATTTGTTGTATAAGTCATTCGTAACCGCATTCGGATGGCTTGCTGCAAATGTAATAAAAAGCACATTAATTAGAATGAGTAAAATGCATGTACAATGGAGACAATGGAGTTTTTGGTTTAGATTCATTCTATGAGGTTTTATCACTTAAACGCAGAATCAGATCTTCATGGATTGACAAAATTGTAAGTTGCATGTACAATTGATTTACCAATATATTCCTTACAATCTCAAATACAATATCTCCAAAAGATCTGCAATATGAAATAAATTGGTGAAGTTATTAAATATCCAAAGTGCAAGAGGAGGAATGTTTAAATTCTCCGAAACAATAAAAACGGTAACCATAATTATATGAAATTAACATGAGTAAATCATACAGTACTCATTTTTTTAAATATCCTACCTTTTGTGGATTGTTGATTTTGATGACTTGCGTTACGGCACCAGCATTGTTGGCTGGTATTGTACTAGCGGATGGGGGTTCCAGTTGTAACTGGAATGACTGCAAACAACAAGGAAGTTACATTAATACACCTAGTTACATTAATAGACCTACTCATTAACATTAACCCATGGGTGTGAAATTCCCAATATGAGTAACAACTCATAACGGAGTAACAACGAATGAGTATACAGGGTGTCCATAAAGTCTCTTTACAATTACAATACAAAGTATGTGTAAAGCGTGTAGAGACTTTATGGACACCCTGTAGTAGTTGAAGTCTAGTAGTTTATGTGGAAACCATTTGTGGTGAGTTCTCATTTGAATCCAAGGCTCTCTATAAGAATTTTAGAGAATTTTTGCTTGTGGTACACATAGACTATTTCAAAATTTAGTCCAGTGGCAATATTTGTGTAGCACAGCTATAATCTTGTAAAATAAACATTGATATCCACTCAGAAAATACATATGCTTCGTACCCTGACTCAAATTGCAAGTCATATCACTCTGACTATTACATACAATTTGTGTTGCTATGGATACGATCTTAATGATCTCAAAATATGAAGCTTTCATGGACTTTTGAGGATTTGACGATGACATCAATAGACAGAAACTATAGTGATGATTTTCTGAGTAAATATACACTGATACAGGCTATATCAATAAAACATTCATAAGTCAAAGAGTGGAGACTAGGTCAAACATTTGCAAAGGGTACTTACTTTGGGTACTGCAGCTTGGAACACAAAGTTCTCCATGTCGGAGAAAGTAGAGTTGGTTGATGCGAGGTGCACTTGGATTTGTTCGCCATCTCGTTTAAAGTTGAACTCTATCTTTAAGCCATTCTTCTCGAAGGCTGTCACTGGGGGATAGGCGGGGGCTGGAATGCATACATTATATATATGCTTGTACACGTATATCAACGGGTAACTCCTTTGAGTTAACTAACTTAAAGGGAGTCCTGTCTCTTAAATACCTCAAATACTTTAAATATGCAACAGACTACAATGTGTACATTCAACAGGCTGATACAAAGGTTCTCTCCTTATAATAGAATGGGATGAAAAAAGTGTTCACCATGTAAGCCGCATGACATGTGCATATAAGGGGTACAAGCATCCATTTAAAAGAACAACACATATATACACTTAGAGTATGGGGATAGACCAGATTCTTAAGCATAGTAGAGCTGTAGTAGTGCCAGTATACCATAGTTACCCTCAACCTTTACAACATAGAAATTTAAAAGTTTAAAGTATACAAAATAATGCTACTGTCATGGTATTGGTTACCATGTTTCCATGATGGCATCCACTTTTGTGATTATTTTATTGTCGTTGATATTGTCTGTAGAACCTTACCTTCATCAAGGCTATTATTTACAGGGCTTGTGCTGGAGTCGCCACCTATTAGCATCATGGAGTCTAGGGGGCTGTCAAGCATGGGATTGGCCATCAGGGGTGGGGGTCCTAATGAGACAAGCAAGCAGGCATCTATCATATACATGTAAGGCCAAACACCCAAAAAGTTAAACACTTTATTCAGTGATCTCCCCAAGATATTTGCTCAACTGGGTGCTAAATTCTCATTCTATCTGTTTTTGGTCAAAATATCTCAATATTTCACACTTTTGACAAAGCGCAAATAGATTTTTAACCGGGTGGGGAGATGTAATTTTCTGATTTTCAACTAGGGGGGGGGCATGTAATTTTCAGATTTTCAACAAGGGGGGCATGTAATTTTCAGATTTTTAACTGGGGGACATGTAATTTTCAGATTTTCAACTGGGGAATGTAGTTTTCAGATTTTCAACTGGGGGCGTGTCATTTTCAGGGGCATGTAATTTCAGATTTTCAACTAGGTGTTGGTTGCTCTAATGCTGGGGAGATCACTGTAATATTCTAATCCATTTCATGAGCCTTTGAGGTTGTGTGGGGACTAACTGCTTAAACACCCATGTACCCTTAAAGGTCCCATAAAGTTTAAACCACTTTGTACACCCTATGCAGACAGAGCCTGTGGGAAATATTGGGTGCGGCGCAAATGACGGAGGGTGCGGAGCTATCGGTCATTTCTGAATTTAAAATTGGGATATTTCTGAAACTAAGCCGTTTTGGGACTTCAAATATACCAAGATATGTGTATTTGACACCAAATATCAGTAAAATTGTGAAAATAGTAGTGCAATTCATTTTATAGCGACGCAGTATGCCTTAAACATTTCCCAGACCTATATATTTTGAGACTATCCTTTTAATACTGCGTCCCCAGCATTCATAAAAAATGGTGTTCAAGATACACTACCCATGCAAATTAATTTTGCATCTTGGAAGCCAGGCAGTATCTGTGTGATTTTATAAAAATTCGGAAATGTTCTTCAGATATGAGCCCCCTCTAAATATTGGGTGCGGAGGTACGTTTATGGAGCTGCTCCGCACCCAATATTTAGAGGGGGCTCATATCTGAAGAACATTTCCGAATTTTTATAAAATCACACAGATACTGCCTGGCTTCCAAGATGCAAAAATAATTTGTATAGATAGTGTACCTTGAACACCATTTTTTATGAATGCTGGGGACTCAGTATTAAAAGGATAATTTCAAAATATATAGGTCTGGGAAAGGTTAAAGGCACACTGCGTCGCTATAGAATGAATTGCGCTACTATTTTCACAATTGTATTGATATTTGGTGTCAAATACACATATCTTGGTATATTTGAAGTCCCAAAACGGCTTAGTTTCAAAAATATCCCAAATTTTAATTAAAAAATGACCGTTAGCTCCGCACCCTCCGCTCATTTGTTCCGCACCCAATATTTCCCACAGGCTCTATCTGCATAGGGTGTTGTATGGGGCCTTTAAACAGACTTTTGGAAGTGTGCATTCACCTTTGAAAAAGCAGTATACAATACTAAAAATCATTTTTAGTAAAATTGCAGTTAATTTTTTGTTTACTTTTGTAAACTAATGAATGGAATAATCTCACATAAAAAAAGTACTAAAAATCATTCTTAGTCAACAAAACAGGCCTTTACCACCCACCTAGTAAATGAGAGTATCATATAGAATGTAATGAAAAACATATGAGAAAGTATCTCAAGATTCCCCTTAATTCACAACAGAAATTACTGGAAGCCAAACCCAAATAATCCTAAACAGATATATAACTTTAAGGAACTTCCCCTCCACCATTACAACATTTAGTAATAAAAATGCAAGGAAAGATCATCTTCAATTCTTGAAAGTAAATAAAAAACCATGCCAGTTCTATGGTAACCTACGATGTAATTATTATTCTTTTGATTACAAATACAAAACTTATTTGTGCACAAGCTAATGTTGGCACAAGCATATGTTGGCACAAAGGACCAGGTATAGTATGGCAAGAGATTTTAGACAGTCATATATTATTTTAACAAAAACCACTATATTATGGCCAGAAAGTACTCATGGTGAAAGATAGGACTGTCAAAAATCACTTGTCAAACTATACATGGTCCTTTGCGACATGTTTCTGATATCTAAATAAGCGTGCAACCTTTAACAATTGCCCTATGGTGTGCCTATGTAATTTGAGGTATTGTGCTAAACCTTGTTTGTTACTCCCATAGTTGAATAAATTTCTCTTTTTGCCCCTATTTCTGATTTCAACTGTACTGATTACATGAAAATTTTGTGTAAAAAGGCATATTGAAGTTCATATGTCAAGATATAAAGGGAACACACTGACACCTTAAATGGACAAAATGATGTGTGAGAAGGGAGCTAGTTTATTGAAACATCCTCAACCAATGGGTGATAAACAAAATACTAGGTGTCACACCATACCTGTTGGAATAGGACCTTAATTTCTCAAATATTTGAAAAGCTTACCTCCAGCAGGACTTGACATATCCAGGTCACCCAGTAGGTCTAGTAGGGCACCTCCACCACTAGTATCTTTTGATGGCTTAGAGTTGCTTATAACAGGAGCTAGAGGCTCATTACCATCCCCTAACAGATCTAAGATATTCTGACTCTGCAAGGAGAGTAAAATAGCACTTATGTGATGTGAATCTATGTGACTAGATAACAGCAAGCCAAGGTGTAGCAAATCCAATAGAACAGGCATTTTTGAAAATAGCCACCTATGAGCCAAATTGTCACCATCTACAGTGAAGTATGCCTCTAAATATTCACATATAAAATTTCAGCAAAATCACTCCACTACTTTTCCAATTAAGCAACAACGTAAAATAACAAACATAAAATGGCTACAAATTTTCAAAACTGCCACTCACTAGCAAAATTGTCTTAAGTGTTACATGCTTCTAATTATTCACATATAAAATGTCAACAAAATCGCCCTTTTACTTTTCCAATTATAGCAATGTAAAATAAAGATACTAAAAACGTTGAGATTAAAAACATTCTAGTGTTTATGAATGTTCATTAATTGAATGTGAAGTAACACTTTATAAATTTTTAATAAATTCACAAAGGGCACTTACCTCAGTTTTTCTGGGTTCAATCTTCTGTATATTGTTAGAGGTGTCATTATTGTCTTCTAATTCATCTAGGAGGGCATCCCCATTAGTCATGTCATCACCATTGGTAACCTTGGCCTCTTGTAGGGGCATTTTCTCCAACAGTCCAGACCTGAAAACACAATACGTAAGTAAGAGAAACAGTCCCCTCATTCAAATATTTTTCTTTACTTTTGTGCTAAACAAGATTATGTATGGAGTACAATGTCAAAAGTTGGCAAAAATGAAAAATTCTCTGGTTTCAACAGGTTTTAGAGCCTGGGATTCAAGAGGTTAAAGACTTTTAATAATCATTTATTTGATATATGTAATGGTTCATATGATAAAGTTTGACAAAGTTAAGTAGCATTACTGTCAAGCTTGAACTAATATTAGGTTTATTCATATTTTCACGTCCAAAGTAAAGTAAATCTTTTCCTTTGAAAGTCGCAATTCTGTGAGAATGTCTTACCTCATTTGATCATGTTTCGTAAATAGTGCACTATATTCCACAGCCCTCTGTTGAAGCTCTAAGTCCATACTACTACCATAAATAGATAAAACACTTTGTATTCGTCTGAAATTAGAAATACAGCAATATTAGTCTTACAACAAGGCATTAACATGCAAAATGTCACTACCTGCCATTTGTAACAGACACTGAATGCCAATCATCAACGGCCATCAAAATGGAGACCATAACATAATTCCAATTAACACTTTGTTCATATATTGAGCCAGTTAGGCAGGATATACTCTCACATATCATTGGCTGAACAGGTTAGTTTTTAAAGAATATGGAACTGTGTTGATGGCCTGTCAAACCATGTATCTTAAATAACTTTCAATTCTGTCTGCTTTAAATTTTGTCTGCTTCATATCCAACCATGTATCTTAAACAATTTTCCATTCTGTCTAAACAATTTTCAATTGTGTCTACTTTGTGGGTCCAACCATGTATCTTAAACAATTTTCAAATTTGCTTACTTAGTTTGAGAGGGAAGCCTTGTGCTGAGTTTCATTAATGCATTGATAGCATACTCCTTTGTAACTACACTGCTGTAATTGGTTTGAAGAATCTTCTCTAGAAGTTCAACTACATCTGCTTCTGTGATCTGCAATAACATTCATTCAGGAATAAATGAGCATTATGTAATAAGTTCTACTCAGTGGTGATAATCTGTGAAATAAACATACATAAGGGTTATGTACTAGGAGGTTTTGGATATGGAATTTATCCAGAGGGAGATATGCATATCTACCTGAGGGACCGTAGGGACCGAAGGTAAATGTGCATATCTCACGAGGGATGAACCCAATATCCAAACCGACCATACATAACTGCTTTATCCTATACCAAGTACAGTTTTCAGTGAAATTACCGGAAGCAGGAAGATATGCACCGAAGCGGGAGATATGGAGGTTCTGGATATGGAAACCTCAAAATCAGGATACGGGATATATCTTACCAACTTATCTCCCTAAAACTCTACTTGGCATAGGATAAAATTACTTATTTCAGTAAATATTCTCCAATAGTTACATGATAAACACAATACCAATATTCAACCCTGATTAGAATTAAATTAAAAAATTAATGAATTTTTCGAATTTCTTTTTAGTAATGGACCCCTGCATTGTACAACTGAATACTTACATCTAAAGGTTCCTCGTCTTCCACAGCTACAAATGCCAGGTCTCCATATTCTCCTAAGCACCAAGAGGCAACCTGTACCAGTGGCTGTTGGTGGAGGTCTGTTGTAGTGCACTGAAATATTATTCAAAATTGATAAATAGGTCTATATATTATCCTAAGCACCAAGAGGCAACCTGTACCAATGGCTGTTGGTGGAGGTCTGTTGTAGTGCACTGAAATATTATTGAAAATTGATAAATAGGTCTATATATTCTCCTAAGCACCAAGAGGCAACCTGTACCAGTGGCTGTTGGTGGAGGTCTGTTGTAGTGCACTGAAATATTATTCAAAATTGATAAATAGGTCTATATATTATGTAGTTCTAAGATCAACTGAAATAGTAGAGATTGAAAATATGCTGGTGTTGTTTACCCTTTGTATTTTCTGATTAGAAGTGATATAATAATATATATATAATTTTATGCTCTCATGATGAATAAGTAAATGTCTCATCTCTTCAAGTGCAACTATATACCATTCTTTTTGAACTTGGAGTTTCCAGTTTGTCTGCAAGACTGAGATGGAAAATTAATATTTCCAAAATTTTGCCAAAATAGGCCATTTCGTGATTTTTCTCCCTTTCAGATAAATTGATTAAAAGGCGGGTGTGACACCCTCTTCTTCTCTATGATTACTTACAATGTAAAGTTTCTGTACTGCGTATGCATGTAATTGTGAAGAGGCTTGGATAAGTTGGATCAGTTGAGACACCACATCATCTCTTATGTTGTTTCCAGCCTAAAACCACAAACGGGTGTTCATTTTACATATTGTTACTATTTCTGTCAGGTGGAGCACCTCCAAAAGTGGAAAGTCCATCGACTGTTGACTTAATGTGAAATGCAGCTGTATATTTGACAAAAATATGTTTGTTAAAAGTTCAATTTTGTGAATATATGTATATTCAACATCAGACTGCTCAGAGTTAAATGAATGTGATTTAAGAAACCTCAAATTGCTTTGTAATCACATTGGACATCTTTCTTGAACAAATCAGTAAACATAATAAAAGTTTGGTACTTTTTTCCTTTTTTTTATTTTCTGGAACACAGAAATGAACTTGGTAGTTTGTTTACTTACTGTGGTTAGTACTTTCATGACTGTGTCTATGTGCCATCGTTTATTGGGACTGTATCTGAAACAAGATACACATGAACAAGATATTTTTTCTGACATTTATATTAAGATATTGCCTACAACATTTATATTGATATGATTAATATTTGAAATGGCCTATATTTATGTAGATAACTTTCTCATGTCGGTATAACAAACATGTATTTGATATGACTAATCTTTATGTCATGACTAATCTTTTATGCTGATAAAACATTTATACACATGTCTCATTTTTATGTTTATGAATTATAAATGTTATAATGACTAACATTTGTGTTGGTATGACTAATAATGTTGGCACGACCAACATTTATGTAAATATGACTAACATTTATGTTGATATGACTAACACTTATGCTGATATGACTAACACTTATGTTGATATGACTAACATTTATGTTGATATGACTAACATTTGTGTTGATATGACTTACTTTTCTGCTGAAGTGACTATGTTAGATGAGCATTCTGTTTTGAAGTCAGGTTCTGCCTTCTCCATGAATACTACAAGTTCTTTCATCATGCTTCGCACATTGTTTGAGTTTATCAATGCAAAGCACAGTTCCATTGCACGTCTGAAAAAACAACAATAAATGATAACTTTGAATTCTCTTTCCAATGGTATATCACACTTGGTTCCATGCTTTGCACATTGTTAGAGTTTATCAATGCAAAGCACAGTTCCATTGCACGTCTGAAAAAACAACAATAAATGATAACTTTGAATTCTCTTTCCAATGGTATATCACACTTGGTTCCATGCTTCGCACATTGTTTGAGTTTATCAATGTAAAGCACAGTTCCATTGCACGCCTGAAAAAACAACAATAAATGATAACTTTGAATTCTCTTTCCAATGGTTTATCATATTTGGTACCATTTTACACGTACGAGAAGGGGTATTGGGACTTCTTTGACACCCTATATAACGCTTTAAAGCTAAAATCAGTGACATGAGGAATGACACAACTGTGAGCATCAAATAACAATTGATAAACCAGAATGTGTTCTTTACTATTTCAAAAATGCACAAATCTGTAAGTCTCTCTTGGGAATCTGATGATTTGTAGAAAATAGTATGAACTGCTACTATGAACCGAGATACATTTTGAAATTCAGACAATTCTGGATTTTCCCATAAATATCACTTCGATGAGACAGATTCTACCCCCAAAAAGAATGGAAAATCTATCTCATTCTCGGATGATATATTTAAATGCTTTTACATTTTGAATTTATAGCATAGTAAAACATCTATGTCAGAACACCTCACTAATCAGAACCAGATGAACACTTTTTCTTAGTTCAAATCTATAATCTCTCATCGACTACAATGTTAAAATATTGAAATGTGTCCACCTGCTAAGTGCTTATCCAAACACTTTTGGCAAGTGCAAGTAGTGTTCATATTAGACAGGTTTTATTGTTAGTACCTCAGTGTAAATACTCGCATCTGATTGGTCAATTAGCGGTCAACATTTTTGCCTGTACCCCACCTGTGCATCATGGGATATCATATTATTGACCGCGTAAGTTACTGTACTACACTTGTGAATTATGGGAAATATGACGTCATAATATTTACAGAAAAAAAACATGGGAGACAGACATTTTGTAAACGTTGATGAAAGTGATATTTTGACTTTGCTAGACGACAAGTATTGCAAAAATACAAATAGAAACGTAAAATTAACATTAATTGACTAGTGAGTACGCAGTGATGTGCCGAAAAAAGAGAGTTTTAGAGCTACCGCTGTCTTCAGATTTTCTTACAAAATTATTGCTGGCGTGGTTCGGAGAAAAGATTGTGAAATGAAGCCATGATTGATGACTGTCGTCTATATGTGTATTATTAGTTTCTTCTGACTAACAAAACAATTGTAGACCTCTCCATTCGGTCAACCGTCAAAATCATATACCTCGACTGTAAACCTTGAAACTACTGTTGACCTCGACCTTCGGTCTCTGTCAACAGTAGCTTCTCGGTTTACAGTCTCGGTATACAATTTTGCCGGTTGACCTCTGAAGAGGTCAACAATTGTATACTGTAATTTTCACGTCAGTCTCCTTACTTTTTAATAGAAGAATCTGGGTCCTTTAGACAATCTACTATTGTACTTCTGTGTCGTTGGACAGCATTATAGTCTGCATTTACAACACGAAGAAGTGTGTTTAGAGCCACATAGCGAATGTTTTTGTCATTATTTAGCAGGAAACGTCCTAGTATATTAACTGCTAACACCTGAAATAAAGCGATAGTAAATAACTAAGATTTAAGTAATTACAGTGATAAATTAACAAAATTATTAAAAAGTATTCAAAGTATGTATGAATAGTGTTGGTTTATAAGATAATATTTTTTACTCCAACAGCAAAAGAATGTGTTTTCTCGTTGACAGATTGAATACATTTTTACTCTATCTTTATATGTATTGTCCATGTTTGAAATTTTCATTAAAATTAAATCAACATTTCACAATTCATAACACATGTTTCGCACATGGTTATGGGTGCATTAGGAGATTACAGAGCTTTTGATTGGTCTATTAGAATGGATGCTTGAACTCACAATGCACTCTTCTGAAATATTATTGATAATCTGTACTAAAGGAAAACATGTGAGAAAACCATATTATTTATAACAAATAGGCAATTATGTATGTCTAATAGTTAGAATTACATGATATACACTTGCAAAAAAAGTTTCACTTCAAAAATGTTTCCCATTGTATTGTCACCCACATTGTATTGTCACCCCATTTAAGCACAAGCTTTAATCGATTATAAGCCACACAATCATTTTACTTTGTATTCTAGGCTGAAAGTTACTGTCTTAATCTTAAAGCCTGTAGGCTGTATGCTAAAAAGTACTCATTTACTAATATAATATTTGCATAATAATTGTTCAAGAGATGTGATTACTATTTAATGTCTATTTTAAGGAAGATATTTCTTATGCTTGGGGGTTACAATGGCTATATTATTGTATATTTTTAAACAGTACAATCAATTATAGCTGAAGTTTTTTGTGATTCTTGGTTTAAGCATGATGTGCATATATGAAAATAAATCAATTTGATATTTAATTTAACTTAATTTGTGCATTTCAACAATGGAGGGGTAAAATATAGCATTTTTCAACAATCAGACTTAACAGTGTTGGAATGTCTTGCAAAATAGTGCATTAAGTATGCGTTTGTTTGGAACTGGAAATAGAAAACCTCACAAGTAGAACATTATTTTGACATTCCAAACGTGTTCCACTTTTTTGCTCTATAATAATAAAATAAAATAAAAAAATCCTAAATATAATGATTGACATTTTGATCCTGAAACAAACAAATAGTTTAAGTTTTTCTACCTACCCTTAGTCCACTTTCAGATTTAATGTCCATTATAGTCATGACAGTTTCATATAAGATGGAATTACCCACATTTTTGCTGGTTTCTGTATTAGTGGCCACCTATGAACAAATATATGTGTGTAATAGGTGGTAGGAAAGGGGTGGTGGTGGGAAAGGGGGTGGTGGATATAAGGGGATGGTGGTGGGAAATCAAAGATATTGTGAGTGTGTGTGTTAGTCGCCATAGCAATGTCACTCAGGTCATTTTTTATTTCGTGCAAATTCTCAGTATGAATTTAAAGAGTCTGTATACAATCAATTGTCATATTACTTAGCCCAATTGTATGTGATTTACTCTCATATTATGCCATACTACTTTTGCATTTTCAAATGTGACCATTATGACGTTGAATTTATGACCTTATACATGCAGCTGCTTAGTATAAGGGGAACATTTCACATCTTCAGTTCTTGTAAAATATATGATAGATGTAAAGTTATTCAGTCACTGATATCGATACTGTATTTTTTAATCAATATGTCATATAATAGATTGCACATAGTATTGTGCAGTGTTAAGATGTGAAATGTTTCTAAAAGCAAGATATTCAGGCCCCTTCGTACATTAAAGGGACCCGTTATAATATTTTAAGCAGAAAGAGACCCCATGTACTCACCACAAAATGGTCTCTAACAATTGTGTTAGTGCAAGCTATGTCTAAAATTCATCAGCAATGTAATATGTGCATATGCTCTAGAGCCATAAGAGCTGATAATTTTTAGAATCAACAAATTTGTACTATAGTCTACAATACCCCATGCACCAATTTACCCAAAATATGTGCTAGTTTTACATTATCAAGAAATATTATCAAGATAATGAAAGAACCTTATGGCCTCACCCCAGTTTTCCATTTCTCCACAAAATAAACACAACATTTTTGTTGGTACAATTGACATTTTGTGCAGACAAACTTGCATATTTTTGACTTTTCGAATGCAGAATTTTGAGAGGATTTCACAATTTTTTCAGAAAACTGGGATGAGTGCTCGTGCTCACTATGACATATTTGGGATATGAGACACCACCTAAAGCATTTGTCCCTACCCTCAGGCCAGACTCGGACTGTACTCCCATTATAGTAATCACTATCTCATGCAAGATAGCATGGCCAACGTTTTTACCACTCTCAGTATTAGTTGCAACCTACATGCCACAAAAGAAACAAAACAGAGAAAATGAAAGAAGAACTCAATTGAGTGAATTATACAGAAGTACTATCCATATCCCATTCTACCGTGAATGTGCTTATAGAGCCAACAAAAAGTTCTAAAAATCAAACCCAATGTCCTGTTTAAGAACCCCATTTCTTACTTCTTGGAATCCATTATCAATAGTAAGAATAGGGATTCTTAAAACAGGACATTAAAGAGGGGCTTTTCATTTTTTGTTTGGTACTTTTATGGCTTTATCAACTCAACAAGGTGTTTCATTCCAATATGCATAGCCAATCAAAAGAGGAGGAAATACGCCAGGATTCATGAATAACCTATCTCCATGTAAAATGACCATCTTGAGATTCATCCTTATATGGAGATAGGTTCATCTATGAATTATGGGAAATTCCTCCCCTCATATTAATTTATGATACCAATGGTATAATGGTAGCTGAATGGTAGAAATATAATATGAACAAGGTACTAAAATGACAAAATGTTGAGTTAATGCAAATGGTTACAAAAGTGTAACAATTTATTACAGATGCTGACTGCCTAATGCCAGTCACAAAAACAGTGTCCAGGGTTCTCACCAGGAAATTTCTAGACCCCAGATTTTTCGCGGTATCACGACTACTCCTCCCCCATGTGAGATCAGAGATATCCTATTAGTATACTTTCCAAAGTACTACTTGAGATTATCTTCAAAAACACTTTAGACTCAGGAAAAGCTATTTTTAGACTCTGGAGCAAGAGAGTCGAAAAACATTAGGCTCCGGAGAATCTCCGGAGTCGAAAAGCCTAGTGAGAACCATCGTGTCTGTAACAACATTTCATCATTTCTTGGTGACATACTAAAACAGGAGAAAATGAAAAACAGGAGAAAGGAAGAAATGAATGGAATCTAAACTTAGAACTATAAAGGTGAGGATCACTAAACCAAAATACACAATACCAAAACAAAAATCTCTTAATATTTGATGGTCACATAATATACATGCAGCTCAAAGGTAAGCATGCCAAACTAGCATATAAGTTTAAGATAATTATTTTACAATACAGTTATATTATAAGTTATTTAATATTTATCCTAATATAGAACCTTACATAGCATATGGATTTCTGACAATGTTGTTTTAAAAATATATGCTCATCTTTTTATGCTGACATATTTAACTAAAACATCATAAACTCTATGAAACCTTGATCTTAAATTCAATAAATGATATTTCTGAATCGAGAATCTACAGGTACAGTAAAACATTTTGAGTTTATAATAGAAGATAAATATGCAATGATGTTAAAAGGTTCAAGATATTCTTTACCAGAGTTCTCCATCTTATTGCCCCATGGGGTTAAAGATGAATATATGGGCTCTTGATTTGTAACTGGTGAAATGAAAACAATACATAATACCATTTATTGAACGAGGCAATAATATCAGTTTAATATTGATTTAAAAAGGGTCAATCCCGAAGAGCTATGGATGAGTCTCCACAGCCCTCCTTCTTGCAGAAATCGGAAATTTTTTCAAATGTAACCTGTTAGTTTTGTCCCGTTAAAAAAGCAATAACAAGACAAGATGAATGAAAAACTCTGGTATATGAAATATACAGGTAGTACCCAGACCGCCATACTATATGCTTGCTCGCATTACCATAGCTTAAACGAGGGGCTTCAAAATTTAGAAAGTAAGACCCTCAAGCATGGGCTTTCAACTAGATAATTGAAAGCCCTTGCCTCAAGTTATACATTAAATTTTTTGGAATGAAGTGTATACTAAACCAGAACAACAGCAACGCCAAAGCGTAGCGAATCCCATCGAACAGAAATGGCTGGCATTTTTACAAACGAAGCGCAAATATCATAAAACAACACACCAGAAAGGCCACCATTTTCAAAATGGTTGCTCACTAGCCAAGTTGTCATCAGAAGAAATAATATGCTTTTAAGTAGCCACCTCTAAAATTTTTTGAAAAATCGCACACGTACTTGTAAAATAACACACATAAAAATGGTGAGACAGTGTTCCATGCTTATAGTATTCACATACCAAATATGAACAAAATTGTCTACTACTTTTCGAGTATTAGTAAAATACGTTAAAATGGCGGCCATTTTTCAAAATTGTTTTCAAAATGGCCGCCTTCTACCAAAAGTGTCATAGGACAGTGTGCCATGCTTATAGTATTCACATACTAAGTATGAACAAAATCGCTCCACTACTTTTCGAGTTATAGTAAAATACATTAAAATGACGGCCATTTTTCAAAATTGTTTTCAAAATGGCCGCCTTCTACCAAAAGTGTCATAGGACAGTGTGCCATGCTTATAGTATTCACATACCAAATATGAACAAAATCGCTCCACTACTTTTCGAGTTATAGTAAAATACGTTAAAATGGCGGCCATTTTTCAAAATGGCCGCCTTCTACCAAAAGTGTCTTTAAACAGTGTGCAATGCTTATAGTATTCACACACCAAATATGAACAAAATCGCTCCACTATTTTTAGAGTTACAGCAAAAATCGTAAAATGACGAGTAAAGGCCGCCATTTTTCAAGATGGCTGCCATGTGCTTTTTAATATCTACATTTGTAGCATTATTAATGTCCTTTATAATTTTTTTTACATTTAAAACATATTGCTATTACAGTTTTACATATTGCACCTAAATTACTGTAAAATCGTCACTAAAATGGCCGCCATTTTGAAATGAGCGGCCATTTTGAAAATCGGCTTTCGAGCAGAACTTCTACCCCCATAGGGTATATGTGTACAAAATATGAACAAAATCGGGCCAACGGTATTTGAGTTATTGCCCGGACGGACGGACAGACGGACGGACGTACGGACGGACGTACGGACGGACGGACGGACGGACGGACGGAGGCGTTCCCTATATCCCTCCCAACTTCGTTCGATGGGATAATTAAAATGTCCTGTGTCGGTTTTTACCCTCCTACCACAATTTCTAATCAAACCCTGCTCTGAGGCTACCTGTTGTCGGTAGTCAAGAGATCTTGAGCAAGCAAACTATAGTATGATAGCGTCAGGACAGTATCCATGAAATACAGAGATTTTAGTCACTCACCTGTGCCAAGATATCATTCATAGTCTCACTAGCTTCCATGTCTCCTTTGCCGAGTAATCGGAGCAACCGCAGAATTTTGACCTACAAAATCGCATGTACATTTATTGGCATGCAAAATAAAGACCTTATATATAAAGAAAAATTAGGCAAAAATAATAAAATTTATGTTATATTCAAAAGGACTTATTTATCATGCATAGAGGAATAATATATATAAAAAAAAAACATGCAAATATTTGTTTTTATCTTATAAAATATAGGTACAGTTTTTATACTATGTGTATGTATATTTTTTAAAATATTGAATAAGCAGATGACAAAAGATGGATACAGTTTACTATAAGATGAGGCTCGGCTGCATGCTTTAGTATCTGAACATTACTTAAATTTGAAATAGATGTAATTTTGGAAAGTTTTAGCCTTATCGGACCATATATCGGTGATTGGTGTTAAATATGAGATATAAAACTGCACTGTATATAGCTTCATCTAATATGATAATTAAGCATTGGCTGTCAACTCCCAGCATTGAAGCATCTAGGTGCTGTACCCAACTGAGACATCACTGTACCCAACTTGAGAATTTGAAAATTTCTCCATGCCCAGTTGAAATCCATTTGCACCAAACTAATGATGAAAATTGACATTTCACAAGTTTTGAAGATTGTTTTTTCAGAATAACAGGTAAAGAAAATTTTATACCAAGTACGTTGCAAATCCAAGAAAGATCAAGTACTTGGCATAAAAATATAAAGAACAGTTACATATATTAACATGCTAGGTCTACAAGTCATATAAGGCAACATAATATTTTTAAATATATATTTCTATTCGCTCAACAGACTTAAGGTCATAACTTAAAACTGACCCTCTCACAACAGCTATATCTATAGCATATAAAAAATGCAACAAATACAGTAAATGGTAAAACCACAAAACCTGTGATGACTGCATTGATTTCATTCAATTTAATTAACATATTACTGGACAGAGGAGAAACATAGCTTCTTGGTACATTGAATGAAACAGATGCAGTCATCACTGGTTTTGAGGTTTTACAAAACATTTATTTGTTGCATTTTTTGAAACACACTTCATGTTAAAAGACGCACTAAGAGAATTCTTCAAATAAATTAAGTTAATGAAAAAGAGGCTGCTTCGATATAACTTTGTGCTTTGTACTAATCTGAATATATACTGAACAAAATAATGTGATGTTAAAATACAGCTGAATTGGGCTGAATAAATGCAACTTTCAAATCTGCTTGTAACATCCAAAGAACCATTAGCTTTAAAGCTGAGTTTTCTTTCAATGAAGTTCATGAAAAGTTGAAGCAGGTTTCACTTATTACACTACAGATATCACGACAATACAAGACAAGACAATGCTCACAAGACAAGACACACCATTCAAAGGCTAAGCTGCTACATAGACTCCAGGCCCACATTTTCGAGACCCACTTTTTTCCAGGCCCACTATACTAAAACACTGAACTAGACATTTCTAAATGGTTTTTCTAATAAGACTTTATAACATGTAGTTATCAGATATTTTAGCTTCATTTTTCCTATGAAGCATGGTTTTACAGAATTCAAATATTTATGGGCCTAGGACAAAAATGTCAATGCTCAATTTTCTAAGTAAGTAGCTGATTTAGTGAAAATTGGCGAAATATTTTGATACAGCTGAACAGACAATTTGTAAAACTATGCTTTTAATAACAATCCCAGCAGCCTCAACTACCAATGTGCTGGCATTATATTATATCCATTGTATATGATACAAGAGGTGGGTAGGTCAGGTGTCCCATAGTTTAGATAACCAGTTACAGGGGTTTCACTTCTAACAACAGGCAAAATATAGGAAAGCTTTGGTTTTACCATGGATATTGTTGCAAAATTCCTCAAAATTGGTGATTTTGGTAAAAAGGCAATTTTGGTAAAAAAAAGCGATTTTGGTAAAAATAAATGGATGATTTTGGTAAAAACAACAAGAAAATTGCCTGTTGCCTGCTGCTGAAGGAAACCTGCAGTTTTAAGTAAATACTTCCTTTTGGCTAGCCTGTCTCGTATTAATGTTGTCCCTTTTCTATTACCTTCCCCACGCACCCAACCACCTCTATTACCATATACAGAATACAATACTAAGCTTAGCCTGGCATCAAATCCCCATCTTCCTCTTCCCTAGCTATATTGTAGAGATGTCATGGATACTGATTTTGCTCCAGCCTGCGTAATTAGGGTCTAGAGTCGGAACACAGAACAAAAATTCAACATTTCAGTTCCAAGAACAATAAAATCTTACCTTTACCCAAATTTTGGCCCTCAACTCACCAAAAAACAGCGCTTTTCCCTACTGGATAGACCTAGTCGATCAATTAATTTTAGTTTTAAAGTAATCTAATACACACAGTCCACACTGTTCCACATTTGTTCTGTTCCGAGCCAAACCATTCCGATTTTTTGTTCCGTGACACCTCTACTATTTCTACACTTCACAAGGGAAGTGGAAGGGGGACAGAAGAACCTAATGCAACATTAACCCGAGCTAGATGTCTTGTACATACTATGGACTGGGAGTCTATGTATTACCGCTACATACGCACCTGCAGAAAAGGATCACTGACTCCAGACACATCGTGATCCCGAGAATACGTCGTCATAATCAAATTCCGTAGAATACGAACTAATTGTGGGAGGAGCTACAACAATGTATAAGAAAAAGATGGCGTATTAATGACGTAAAATGTTTCGTACTCACTTGTAGAAAAGGATCTGATACGCCATTGACGTCGTGTTGCGGCGAGTAACCAGACATTATCAGGTTTTTTAGGATCCTTATTATCTTGGGCACCAACTAGCAACATAAAATACAACATAGTTAGAGGTGCATCCTGTCAAAAGATTATAGTGCAATCATGCAATGCCGTCCATGTATTTCTGAAATACCTAGACAGTTCCCAAATGTCTAAAAGTTGACTAAAAGAAAATTGGATTATACAGTAGTCTCATTTCAGTTTCAAAACAGTTTTAAATAGAACAAAATTTACCCCATGCCCTCTTCTCTCCCCAAGCATAGTTTTATAATTTAGTCTTTTTTCATTTTTGTTTTTCCTAAATCTTTCAAAATTAGACAGTCCCTTTTTAAGTACTTTTTGTAAAAACATGTACATGTATAATCAATTTAAAATGTGAATTTCATGTCTGCTGTACTGTGTCCTTGTATCAACCATTGTTACATAAGGAAAAGCATTATTTGATTGAGGGTGTGATAATGTGAATTCAATAACATTAATAAAAACTTAACAATTATTTGCTTAACAAGGGGACCGTTTCTAGAAAATGTCATACATTACTACCTATGGAATTCAATTGTCTTTAAAGATTTAGTCATAGCAACTCTGTCGAAGCATTTCTATCACAATAAAAGAAATGACAATTATTAACTAAATTTTGAATCATTAATGTGAAATTTTAACAGCAACCTCGACATACGATATATAGTCTCACATTTTCACATAATATTTTGATGTTCCAAACTGCAGTTAGAATGGCATATACATGTAATGTTAAATGTGAAAGACAACTGAAGTACACAAGCAATTATTGCCAATATTTTCAAGAAACGAGCCCCAGATAGAGAAAGATGTGATGGAAAGTATACAGGATTGGAATTATGTCTGTATGTATTATATACATGGATACAGTGATCCCCCAGCATTGAAACAAGTGGTGCTGTACCCACTTGAGATTTTGAAAAGCTTGAAAAAAAATTTACATTCATGAGAAGAAATGCTTGGGAGTACACTGTATATGTTAAAGGGAGAGTTAAATAAGAAAATAACAAATGCACAAATTATTGCTAATTTGACAACTTTTGATTAATATTCAGACTTTTTTATCAAAAATATTGAATGACTTCCTATCATCACCTTTTTTAGATTTAATATTCAATAGGAAGTTCAATGGTTTCTAATCAGAGTTTCTAATCAGAATTTTCATCTATTCTAAGGCAAACTCTCCCTTTAAATCATCTTACATAGGGATCCGTTAAATCTTGATACAAAGGTACAGGGTGTACCAATAAAATTTGTACACATTTTATGGAACACTCTGTATAATGATTATCACCTTATTTTCAGAAGTCTTCGAGTTACAAAATTTCATGGAGCTTTCTTTAAGTATTGTAACTTTGTTGAATAAAACAGTTGACAAATTATTGGTGTGGGTTTGTGATAGAGCTTTTAATTGCTTGTATTTCGAAATATCATCTCAGATCACATCTTAACATTTATTGATAGCATACATTTCTAATATTCCATGCTCTACAAAATGCTATATAATGACATGCTATATAATATTGAAATTCTATAAACAGGTTTTTGATAATATAATATTAAAATATATATTTTTAAGAACTAGTTTTTATTGAAAGCATGCCCTCTACTATAAAAGCCTTGACTTAACAAGCGAACATTGATTAAGAAGCCAATATATTATCATTTAGATAATTATTTCATGAACTATGCATTCCTCCCCTAATTACCAAAATTACATTATAATGACAATTATAAAATACGAGGGGTGATCAAAGTATTTTCCTTTTTCAAAAAGAAGTTTTTTTCTAATATCAAAGTATACATAACATAAAAATTGATATCTTTCCTTTTTCAAAAAGGTGTTTTTTCTGATAACAAATTCATAGAAACATTTCTTTAAAATACAGAAGTGGTTGATCGTTTTACTGATTTGTACTGTTTAGAAACTTTTTGATGGACCCTCGTATTATAGTACACAGACCTCTGATCCCCTGTATCTCCACACCTAATGAAACATGCAGTCACTGTTAGTGTCAAGGCCCACAAAATATGACCCTTCGTGATTTAGCCAGATATATAATGAAAAAAATCTTCCAATAAAACAAGATGGAAATATTCAAGTCATGAGCATGACAAGATGCCACCACCTGGCAAGTTTATACAAATGGTTAGAAAAAGTGTATAGTTATTAATAAAAAAAGATATATTCAGCGTATATTGGTCAAGACAATAACATGAATTCTAATGTCCACTCTCCAGCTAATCACCCCATGAAAAATCCAGTTTATATTAAAGCAAAGACAATTGCCTATTTCAAGCCTGGAACTAATCAGTTAAAGAAAGTTTCCATTTTGATATTTCTAAATATTTCATGAAAATTTACATATATAGCGAGGGACTGGTTATTTTTGCATGAAGCGAGATCTTACAGTTTCTTTTGTTTTACGGGGATCCATAATCATCTGAAAAGCTTCCTTCTAAATTCAACGAATCTATATAAAAGCTACAGTGCATCTCAAAATTAACCTTCCAAAAGAATGTTATACAATTTAGCTCATAATCAAAGTCTGAAAAATGAAGAAACTTTTCAGGAATTAAATTTGTTAACAACTTGAAATTCAACTACATGTATATTCAAAAGGTCAGTTTTTTCAGAAAAGATTTGTACCACAGTCTATAAATGATGCCAGGTACAGATCATTTTTAGGTTAGGTTAAGAATTACAAGTTCAGCTTTTCTAAATTCAAATTAAATTTTTGATGTATATTTGGAAAGGCTAAGTTTGTACCGAACTGTAGACTAAGGTGAACTGTGTAAGCCAATTAAGTGAAAAGGATGCATGAATAAATATAAAACAAAACAGTCTAGGATACAATCAAGTACATGTACATAATATGTCAAATGTGTAAAATGTCAATTTCATCATGCTTGGTCTGCATCATTTTTCTTTGAATAAGCATCCCAAAACTGCCCAATTTTCTAAAATTTTTGTACAATTTAAAGCATAATCTGCCCGTTCACTTCATTCTTTGCTTATTCTACATGTATTCAAATTTTCTGTAAAAGGACTGGGTATGACTTTGTGAACTAAATTCAACATTTTTTCTCTTACACGATTCTCGAAAAAAATCTGAAAAATACACATCCTCGATGCAAGTCATCAAACAAATGGCAACAATTTAATTTTATTCCTAATATATGGTGGCAAGAACAAGAGACAGTGTCAGACAGGATTTCTAAAGAATTATGTGAAAAAATGTATAATTTTTCAAGTTAAATTGTTACCATTCCATTTCAAAATACTGACAAATTGACATATTTTCACCATGACAAATAAAGTACACATATTTGGGAACACCCTATATCCATAATACACAAGGTGTGTGTACCTCACAACTCTCATCCTGGTAAAATGAAATAAACAAAGAAAAACAAAATCATTGAAAATAAAAATACTGATGTGTTACTCGTAATAGCACATGTTGTGACAAAATTAAATAATAAAAATATTTGATCACATGTACAAATGTTCTAATAATGGCAAAGAAAGTTTAATAACAGCTAATACACAACAATTATAATTTCACAAAATGAAAATCATCAGCAGAAAATTTCCCTTAGACATTAAAACTCATGCAATTCAATTTTAATATATCAGCATGTTAATGAATAAATAATATTTTAGTATTTAATTCATGTTAGAATCCTACCCCAGATTTAACAATAAAGGATTTCATAATGTTCATGATAAGCTTAGGTTTCCTGCACGGCTCATATTTAATAATTTTGTCACAAATAATATAATAGGGATTTCTTCAGTGTGTACTATTGGGAGAGGTTTGCTAGCAGCCCTTGAACTTTGTAAGTTGAAGGGGACAGGAGCTTCAGCTTGACAAGAACAAAGGTCAGGGTTGGTGAGAGTGAACAGTATGGTGATCAATGTGAGGGTGACCAGCGTATTGATGGGGGGTGGGTGCTGATTATGATTATGGGGGGGGGGGTTGCTGACCATGGGGGTGCTGATCAACAGCTAACCGTGAAATTGCTGGAGTGACTTTGAATAGGACATATATTCATCATTGCATCTTGGTGTGTCGATAAGCCCAAAAATGTTTCCCAGACAAACATCAAATCAACAATTTAAAGTTCATCAAATTCTCTGAATACAATCATTACACAAAAACTTGCTATCAGAATAATCACTAATAATGAAGAAATGCTTTATCTTAGCAGAATTTTTTTTAAATATGCAGAATCACATGTAATAAGTTGTAAGGAAAAAAAACACTTCCAAAAAAGTAACATACTGAACTTACCCTTCTAAAATGGTTCAGAGTGTCTGGACTTTTTTCACACATTTCTATGATAAGCGCAACTGCTGTTAGCAAAACACCTGAAATAAAAAATTTATTTCATGAAAACGATTCTTTGCAAAAATCTAAAAAATGAAATGTCAGGAAGCCTCATTTTTTTACATTTACATCAAAATGTCATCACCTGCCATTTGTTACAGATAATGACTACCTAACAATGTTCCAGACACCAATCGCAGAATCCTGTCCACAAAAAAGTTGGACACTATAGCAATGTCACCACTACTGGTGGTGACATAAAAGTCGATGTTACATTAAATTCAAAACCCTGATGATCATAAAACAGGTATAGCGACAGAGAGACTACAAGAGTAAAAAAATTATTTGGATTTAAGTTTTACCATGATTTTTCTCATTGAGCAGTGCCCTGGTTGCAGGAATGAACATCTCCATTAGATCTGGCACCTTTCTGATGATGCGAACAGCACAAAGTGCAGCCTACAATTAATAATAACAAACGGTTAGAAATGATCAAATACAGTAGAAAATATGAGAGGGAACATCTCTCAAGAGAACAATGGTCTCCAGGACAGTTTATATATGCACTAGGTTGTACTGTTACATTACAATGTATATTACATCATACATCTCAAAGATATATATTACATTGAGAATACCAACAGACACATGATACTTAATCTTTTTCATGTAAGAACAAAATCATGAAGTGGTTTGATTAATGTAGAGTATTTCAGATTAATTAGACCAATATTCACATAATTATCAAACATTTATGACCTGTCATTTAAATGAGTCAACAAGTCCATTGGAATAGTTCTATGATTTGAAAGAATGACCAAGACATTGCTTCTCTTTATAAAACAAGGCCAAACCTCGGCCCATGATTTGATTTAAGTTAATGGAAAGAATCCTATTTTGTAGAACAAGACCCATAAGCCCATAAGGATCCTATTTTGTAGGCCAATATACATAAAGATCCTATTTTGCAGAACAAGACCCATTAGGATATTCTATAAAATGCAATTACCTTTTTCTTTATGTAAGCATTTGATGATTTTAGTAATTTTTCTACTTCTCCAGCCAGATCTCGACTCATCTCACATGAACAGATAGCGCCTAATGTACAAAGAGCCAAGCTCACTATGTACTGTGTCTGGTGATTTAGGTCACTGGAAAACAATTCATGCGTATCAGATCATATATAGGATGTACATAAGCCTCAATCATATTTGCTCTATGGCGGCCATAGTTTCACAAAATCGATATAGAAAATCTACATCGTACTGCTTATCACTATATTTCATGCTACATATTTCTCTCAATTTTGGGAAGCTACGGCTGGTGTATGGTTGCCGTAGATCAAATGTAACTGAAGCATTAGATTTAGTTTTATTCACTGCTGAAATGTCTTAAGAAAAGTATAGCTGAATCAATAAGTTTACATACTGGGAATATTAAAATATGAGATTTATCCTGAAAAAATATCTCTATCTTTCGGCATCATATGTGCTAGGAAGAGATATAACATAATCCCTGTATCCCAGCAAATACCATCAATTAGTTACACATCCCAAATCTGTATTCTGAAATCATGGTACTCTGTGCTTTCATTAATGCCGTCCCATAATGGAGAGGACCCGGTTTTTACTAATAGGGACCCCAAACAATGAAATTGAGGGGTTACTTGGACGCAGTGCAGGTCATATAAAAAAATCAACTCTGGTACTGTATGGTACATTAAGAGTATGGTATTGTTCGAGTATGGTGCCATTAATGTAAAAGTGTTCACAGTAAAGTACTTTTTAGCCTACCATACCATATGGTACCATATTTACGGTACCATAAAGTACCATAGCCAAACGGTACCGGACAGTACTGTTGGAGATTGACTGTGTAGGCTTTAAATTTTCTCTTACTTTTTGAGTGAGTTTGTGACCAATAAATGAACATCCTGCCTCTCATCCAGTAATAACATCCCACCAAGGTATCCTATTCTCTTATCAGTGAACCGTGGAGACGCAATCAGCTTCAAACATTCCAACTAAAAGTAGAAACAAAGATATGTTATTATAATCATATAGTAAGTGTTCCCCTCAGAATATTTTCTCAAGTGGGTGCAAAATTCTTATTTGCACAATTCAGACCAAAATTGGTCAAAATATGCCATTTTCATGATTTTTCTCATTTTCAAGTGGGTGCAATTGGATTATCAGGTGGGTGCAAGCCTGTTTTCAATATCTGACGTGGGTGCTATACCAACTTGCTTTAATGCTTGGGAGATCACTGTATTCACTGTATGTGCAGTAGAATCTACATATGAAAACACCTCTCTCTCTTCAACACCTCTCAATGAATGTTTTTATCATTTTTTATTCTGTAATAGAATACAATGTTAAAAACCTTGATATATGTGAAAAACTGCCAATCTGAACACTTTTGGCCATAGAGGCATTTGGATTAGAGGAATTTATTGCATCCACATTTATTGAAAGATGAACACAAAGACATTTTGATTATCAAATATGATTTCTCTAGGATATGATATAATTGAAACGTCTATTGAAGAAGTTCTCTACTAGCAGCATCCCTGATTGGTTGAGCAAATTTTCTAAATAAACAATTTCTCAAGCAAGTAACCAAATTCCGATTCTCTATTTTTTTAAATGTATCAAACAGCTATGATTTTCCAGATGTGTTCAATATCACAAGTCCCACTGTACCACAATAATCAGACATAAAATTAACTGATATACTCGGTGTATTAACGCACAGTTGGTGCAATATTATCACAACTAAATCAATTCATTCCTACGCAATATTCCCAAAAGTATCAAATGAACTAATTGTCTGAAGTGATAACTTGCGGCATATAATATCACATCGACCAACCTGGCATGGTGTTTATTAGAGTTCCTGACAACAAACAAAACAAAATTTAGGCATTAAGATGCAAAATGTCACCACCTGCCATTTGTTACAGACACAGATGTCAAACGAAGTACGCTGAACACCATCCATGAAAAATTGAAGACAATAATAATATGTCAACACTTCTGGTGGTGACACAAAAGGCATCAGCCTGCAAAATGTCACCACCTGCCATTTGTTGCAGACACCAACCGCAGAATCCTGTATACCAAACGCTGAATTGGAGACTATAATAATTTGTCACTTTTGGTGGTGACATTAAAACGCTACTTGCAACAAATTGAGAAAAACTGTAGGGAATATATTGATCTTCATTTTAAGCCTGTAACAGTATTCCCTAACTTCAACATGAAGAATGGCTGGTTATATTTCATAGTCTATCTTGCTTTTAAGTACTTAGGGTTGGCATGGAACAAAACAGAAACTTGCCTTCTGAATAAGAACCTTTCAGAAGTTCTGACCTTTCTCATTCATTCAGACTTTTCACTGCATATGTACAGCTATCTTATCTCTCGTATTTATATATGTATCCAATGACCAATGATTTTTTCATTAGTTTGCTGAGTTAGCCAATTGTTCTTAATGAGAAATTGATGAACTCAAAATCTTTGGAATTCGAGGAAGCAGTTCAGTTCGGAAATGTTTCCAAAGGTAAAATCAGATGATTTTGAGCCTAATTCCATCCTATACAGGCCTGAGAACATGAATTCCCATTTGCTAACCATAATATCCTCCATCTTTAAAAATAATCTTAAATGCAGCTTTTGTGGGAGTTTGATATAAATTGAACATTGGCTACTTATGAGCATAAAATGACATATATGAATAGATGTAAACATTTTCCTTGCTAATCACAATATCCTCCATCTTTAAAAATGATCTTAAATGTAGCTTTTGTGGGAGTTTGATATAAATTGAGCATTGGCTATTGCTATTAGCATAAAATGACATATATTCTGATTAATAGCTCGCAAGCTCCAAGGCAGTTTTACATAAAAATGTCAAGAATATCAAAATGTGTCGCTCTGGTGCACTATGACATGGAATCAATATATTCCAATCAAATGATACTTGGTGATATATTATTCACAGATAATTTTGATGAAAATGTCAGGATGTTCAATAATTTGCTTTAATACTGCAAATTGCGAAATCACTTCAATATACAACGAAGTAATATGCCGTAATAATGAATTTTGTTCATGTGCTATAGAATCCTAAAGCGCAATATACTCTATGATTGAGGGTAATTGTTTGAATAAATATGACCCGTATATTAACCTTTACCAGCCGCAATGACAAGAAGCAGACTTAGAAGAAAATTCTCAATTTATCACCAATCATCCACTGGTAACGGAGCACATTTGTATTCATCAGGGACGAAACTGTCTTCAGGAAATTGACCATTACAATCACTTTTTATCAGTCAATCAATGATTTGCCGCATTTCTCATTCTGTTATAATGGCATATATTTGAACAGAGTGAAGAAATTATGATAGAAATCCCAATGATTCCAATCTAATCTTTCAGGAGCCGATATATTAAACTAAGACCATTATTCATTTCTTTATCCTTTTATTGAAAGGCCTATAATCATGGTTAAAATATGAATGTTGAATATGACATCAGCCCTTCAAACGTAGTGGTAGGATATGTGACCCCCCCCCCCTAAAATATGTTTGTTCCAATGCAGGGACAGGATATATGATCGTATGACCCCTTAAATATGTTTGCTCCAATATCCTTGATGGTGAATAAAATAGTGCTGAATCTATCTAATCAACTCAAGAGTATACAGTGATCTCCCTAGCATTAAAGAAAGTCGGCGCAGCACCCACCTCAAAATCCATTTGCATCCACTTGAAAATGAGAAAAATGATGTATGATATATGACGATGTTTGGTAATATTAACTGATAACAGTGTTTTCCTACCCCATCTATCAGCTATGCATCTATCTAATTATCAGTATTTGTCCTCATTAAAACTGCTGACTTGATCAGTAAATCAAGCATGTACTGTTCTAATTGTATGATTTGATCTTATGTGTTTTCAAAATGTTGCCAATTGTGCCCTGTGACTTAAACATGTTCTTTATATTCAAATTACTATGTTAACTCCAGGCTGTTCATAGTGAATACTATTATACGGTGACTAATCTTTATACTTGCTATTTGTTCTGACTTGAACCATGAAAAAAAATTTTTCGTATGAATTTATTTGACGCTCAGTAATTTAATGTATCACTACATTTTCTACACGATCAGAATCTTCTTTTGATTCAAATTATTTTACGTCCAAAAAAATGTACAAGACGGCGTTAATGCAAGCCCTGACATTATATTAAGGCTGTGCCAGAACCAGTTATGACATTCTGGAACGAGAACTAAATGTGTGGTATCAGTATCTGAACTTTCAGAACCCTTTTTGGCACACAAAAGAAAAAAATTGAAATAAACAAATCTGCTTGATATGGAAGAACTGTTTCACATATTTTGCGAATTGTTTTATCTTCCGTTATGGTGAATGTTTTTCATCAAGATGAAGCAAAACCTTCGGGACATGTTAACCAAAGTTCCAATACTGGTATTTTAAGTATACTACCAACAAATTTTTTGGGTGGATAACACAACCCTTATATACATGTACTAAAACTGTGTCAGTAGAACATCTTTGGTACCTCTAAAAAGTGGGAAATTTGGGAAGCTACGGCCACTGACGATTGCCGTAGATCAAATGTGACTGAGTCATTAGAGATAAACAATTACTGAAAAAGATACTACAGCTGGGATTACGAGAGGAATCCTCATACAGACTGAAGTCTGCACAGCTAATCATCGTTGAAATGTCAACCTACCAACAATATAAGATAGCAAGAAATGAACTTAACAGGCTTAAAATCTTAAAAACTTTTTCATGAAACAAGATATATAAGCAAATGCTTGTTTGAAAAGGTGAACTAGACAAAACTACACTGACAATTTAACACTTTGTACAGTTATGTGTTACCATCCATCTAAAACAGAAATGCAGGATATGATAACCTTTCGATACACAGAGCACAATGCATCATTCTGTAGAATGTATGATAAATCACGAAAAATACTGTTAAGTGCTTCATAATTTCTGAAATTATTTTTAGACCCAACATCATGTTACAGTCTCGCTAAATTATGGTTAATTTCCCATTGCGGTCGTTTGTAAAGTGGTAATTATCCTCAGAGAGACAACTGAGTCGACAACTATATTACTGATATGTAATAATGAAATATTTTTTAATCCAGGAGAAAATGTAACCTGTTTTATCCTAAGCTGCCACTGTTTAACAGAACACCCATTAGTCACAACAGACAACTAAGTCGGAGACAATATCAAAGGTACCAATGATATTATCAAAAAAATCTACAGGGTGATAATGAGGTTTGGATCTCTTTTCAGCAGTAGATGCTTTGACAATCAGTTCCTAGAATTGAGATAGTTCAAGTACATCAACTACTATTAAAACTCAAACTAAAAGGATGAACAAAACACATAATTATAGTTGATTTTTTCTCACGACAATCAGAATTCAACTTTATCAGTTTATCAATTTTTCAACATTTGAAGAGTTTGTCTTACATGTCATTTAAACTCTTGACTATCCAGAGTGACGAGATTTCTAGTCACCTAAGAAATGACCTTGAAACCCAGAGTGATGAGATAATCTGTTACAATACTCTCAATACTCCAGTAAAAACACGAAAAATAAATGAAAAAATTGCAACACTTATTAAACCTAGTGCAACAAATGCATATTGATGAGTTTAAAGACATATCAAAAATCTAGAAAAATCTAAGTAGTGGAAGACATGTAAAAATCACTATTTGTACCCCCTGGTCTTATTTTATGAGGGGGTACTGTGATAAGCATTTATATCTTCTGTTGGGTGCCTCCAATCACATTCAAATTTTCAGGGATTATGCATCCATATATAGTTAGTTCTCATGAAAAGACTGATCTTGATTGGTCAATTGGTTACCATGGCAACATAATTTAATTGCAAAATATTGTAAATATTAAGGATAAATCTACCGTTTCCCTACAAACAGATCGTAGTTTGTCATTTTTAATT